CACTCACGGCCAACATCGGTGACGAATATCTTAACCGGTCCTGGATCTCCGCCATGGCGACTCGACCTTAAATGAATACCTGCTGTGCTGTGTTTAATGTCAACACTGGGGATAGAAAGGCGGCCGGGCGTCGTCATGGCCACCGACCCCGCCTTAATAGGTGCTCGCTAACATCGCTTTCCCCATCAGTCCATTCAGTCGAAGAATGGGCTCTGTGGAGTGTTCACGAAGTCGCACTCCAATGTGTGGTGAGGCTGTGGAGTCCTGTGCTGTCACAGCACACGTGCGGGACGCCGCCAGTTAGCACGGTGAGTTGGTGATGTTGGTAAATCGTCGTCACTTTCTCCGAGTTAATGAACCCGCTGGCGTGAGCCGATTTGTTAGACTGTGGCTCTTCCCGGCATCCCTTGGGGCGCATCGTCCTCTAATCCGCGCTCATGAATCACCCAGGGATTCCCGAACAGGCCGCGTGGGTTGGACGCGCGACTTTATCAGAGAGAGGAGAGCACAGCCCAAGAGCCAAGTAGGTTGTGAGCCTGCTTGGACTCCGATAGTAACATCTGTGACCACCGGGGATTGCCAGGTGTTGTAGGCGCGGGGCAGCAAAAATGGAAATCTTGAGTCTCAACGCACGGTGGGTGCGGAGAGGAATCTCCGAGTACTGCGGGGTTTCTCCCGCATTCAGGCGAAATCCAAGTCATAGAATGGTTCAAACGTTTCGATACAGAGCCCTGGTCCCCTGCAAACAGAGCCCGAGTGAAGGGCATGGTGAGTAAGAAGACGGATACAAATCGTTATCCGCTAGAGTGGAGTGATTTCTCCCGCTTACAGCTAGAAACCCGCTGATTGTCAATCATCGAGAGCTGGTGACAATCAGACGCAGCGTCAATCAACTGCAGGGGGTGATGGTGGTGGTGGTGGTGTTGTGTCGGCAGTGCCGGGGGGCTAAGGGGTCACGCGGTGAGGATGCAGTCCGTGCCACGAAGCGCCGAGTGGCTCAGCAACCTTCCCCTCGTGGGTCCCCTCGTGGGTCCCCACGCGTGTCACGATGCGGCTTATGCACGAATGGTTATTTGTACATTCCGTGTGCTGTGCTGCCTTTGTGTGTTTTGCTTGTTTCATTTGGACGGTCCGTACTGTTTACGTCTTGTTCTGTCTCGTCTGAAGTGTTTGTGTAATTATTTCCGTGTCGTTTGTGCTGTCTCACCTGCTGTCAACACTCACCTAAAGGGAAGGATTTGCATGACATTTGTATAACAATAGACACTTACACGCATTATTCGCAGAAGATACCTCTGAGGGTAATGATCGATTTTAAGCAATGAGTCGTGTAATGAATACACCAGAGAGCTGTCCAAGGTGCTGACCACACAAGGGAAAACTGTCCACGGTACTAAACGCCCAGCGTCGTCCGTGGTCCTGCTGCTGTCTGTGGTGCTGAATGCAAGCGGGAGAGCTGTCCACCGTGCTAAACGCACATGGGAGAGCTCTCCACGCTCCTAGACGTTAATGTTGCGTCTCTTGCTGGCGAGATTCTTCTTCATGAGAAGCTTACGTTAATGATGCATCTAATTTGCTAATGCTATTACCATTATGCTCATAATACACCTGCTAATACACAGCATCTGTGTATCTTGGGGATGCGGGATACCCACGATGCTTTTCACAAAGGCCAGCTGGCCATTGTGAGCCTGCACTTACCGCCCAGCTCATCAGCGGCATCACACAGATTGATCGCCCCGCTGGACAATTCCCATTAGCAGCGAGCGCGGTGGGGGGGGGGTCTCGTGTCCAGACGGGCGCACGGGATGAGGCACGGCAAAGCGAATGTTTTTGTTCGACTCTATCCCCATCCACACCGCTCCCTCCATCTCCCCTCGCCTCGTTATAATCATCGTGCGGATTTAATTCATTCCCGTAAAAAAAAAAATCTCCCAGGAAGTGCGATCCTCGAGATGTGAGTTGTGAGTCCGAGTTGGGGGTGGTTGGAAGGTTTGTATGTTTGTATGTTGAGCTTCTTTCGCACCATATGTAACCAACCGTGCTAATGGGAGGTGCTTATCGGAGGAGCAATGCTAGCATAGAGAGAGAATACATAGAGTGAGACACACAGAAAGACATAGACAGAGAGACGACTCCGAGACAGACACACACAAATAGAAACACAACGCTCAGACACACACAACTGCAGGGGGGCAGACAGACATGGAGAGACACAGATACACACAGAGACACGTAAAGAGACACACACAAAGATACATGTGAAGAGGGATACGCAAAAACAAGGAGACGCCCGAAGAAAGATTGTGAGACACAAAGAGCGATGTAGTGCGAGACACAGAGACAGACGCACGGAGGGGCGGACAAAGAGAGAGAGTAGCTGAGAAATACGGGTGATCGAGAGTGTGGGGAGAGATGTGAGAGATGCGGAGAGGGAGTTATTTATCTCCAATTTGTAAATGGAACGATGGTCGTTGTGGGGGCAGGGAGCAGAGCAGGGAGGAAGGACGACGGGAGATGGATGGATGGGGAGAGAAAGGAATAGGAGAGGCACGGGTAGATGGATGAATGGGTGGGGATAATGAGAGAAGAGAGAGAGGAAGGAGAGATGGATGGGGATAGCGAGAGACGAAAGAATACGAGAGACAGGGAGAGATGGATTGATGGGGGGGGGGGGGGGGGAGAGAGAAGAGGCAAAGAGTGACGAGCGTATGGGGAGAGTGAGAGAGTGTAGACTCAGGGAGATATGGATGGAAAGAGAAGATAGTAGAAGCATGTAGTGATGAGTGGAGAGTGTTACTCGAATGTTGTTTCACCCACTAGGAGCATTGTGAACGCACGGCCAGGCAGGGCGAGTGAATGCTGCTCGTGTCGACAGTGCCTACACGACTCGTCGGGTGGTCACGCTTAGTGCAGGCCACCGGTCCCACACGCTGCTCCCGCAAACCACAGTGGTGTAAACGAGTGACGCGGGGAAGGTTACCCCAGAGCTATGAGATCATTCATCCGTTTGTTTGGCCAGGAATGCCTCGCTGAGTCTCACGACTCGTGTTTAGGAGAGCTCTGCCGTAGGGGGCCATGTTGCTAAGTGCGATCTCAATTGAGCAATTTGAGGGTTGTTTTTTACATTGTAATGTTAGTTGGTCAATACCAGTTACATTGTATGGGTTGTTTTTAGCTATGGGAAGAAACTGCACAAGCCGGAGAAGCCAGATGCAGAACAGGGGGAGAACATATAAACATATATACACATATAAACGCCACACAGAAAGGCGCCCTAGTCGGGAATCAAACCCTGGTGCATCTTATTGTGATGCACAATTCACAGGGAACGTCATCGAGGTAGTGTCCAGGTGAGGAGGAGGAAGAGCGCGTGATGGTGGGGCGGTTACGTGGCCGAGCTGTAGCGCCTTTGCTCAGAGGTTTGCAGTTCAAGTCCCCGGCCGCCCCGGTTAATACTGCAGGTGTACTAACAATAAAGTGCTTCACAGAGTGTACGTAACAGACAACGCTGACAGTCATGCTGGTGATGGTGGTGGTGATAAAAATGTCTTATGATGGTGGTCGTGGTCGTGATGACACTGGTGATGATGGTAGTCGTGGTAGTGAGGATGACAGTGGTGATGATGGTGGTGATAGCAATAATTACGATGCTTTTAATATTGGTGACGATGGTGGTGGTGATGTGCAAGCCAGGAAGCCTGGTTCAATCAAACGGTGCTGTCTTACGTCACGTGTGATGTGTTTAGCAATCATCAGGCGCGTGCAACCACTTAATTTGTTACATCATGGGACCTCCTTTGCGAGTGTCAAAATATAAGAAGAGGTTCTCCCCTTTTTTCTGGCAACAAAACAGGTGTTAAGATGTTTAAACACCAAACTGAAACCTCCCTTGCAAAAGGTTTCAGTTTGGTGTTTTAACATCTTAACACCTGTTTTGTTGCCAGAAAAACTGGGAACCCTCTTCTTACACTTAATTAGTGTTTGAAAGCGGCTGGATTGGTGAACTCGGCAAGGCGGCCGTGGTGGGTCGCCAGGGCACGGGGGGGTTCCTGGACCTCAGGGCGCATTCGCCTTCGTTTACTCAACGGGCATTTGGCTCCCGAATCGAGGCCCTTGACTCGTCAAAAGCTCGGATGCTAAGCGGGGCTAGGACTGGTTCGTGCGCGGATGTGAGACTGGCTGGGATTAGCAGCAGTGTGTTGGCATATCCGCGGACGGTGGCATTGAAGCTATGGATTATGGAACTCCGTCTGTGCGAAACTTGTTAGCCACCCACCCACCCCGGCCCAACATCGTCAGGCGAGAGAGAGAGAGGCGGGGGGAGGCCCCCAGAGCGACCCTGGCTGGCTCGCGGGCCGATAGCGGCCCCTGCTGTGCCCGCCGGGGAAGAACCTCGATTTGACGACCACCACCACCACCTGCGTAGAGAAGCCGGCCGCGTTGACCCAACACTCCGACATGTCGCCCGGCAAGCGCCGGCCCTGACACTCCTCGCACGCGCAGCAGCGGCCTGCGAGCCGAGCGGCCTCCCCTCGAGGTGTGACCCGCGCGCGCGACCGCTCGTCAATGGGCGCGTGAGAGAGACGCACGGCCACACGCGGGCGCGCTGCGCCACTGTGGGCCGGGCGAATTAAAGGGCGGTGGTGGGGGGGGGGGTGTGGTGGGGGGGTGGGGGGGGGTTGGTGGTGGGGGGGGGTTGTGGTGGGGGGGGTTGGTGGTGGGGTTGGTGGTGGGGGGGGTTGGTGGTGGGGGGGGATTGGTGGTGGGGGGGGATTGGTGGGGTGGAGGAATGGTGGGGGTAGGCATTGGGGGGGGGGCGTGCATTGGTGACGGGGAGGGCATTGGTGGGTGGTGGGGAGGGGGGAATTGTTGGGAGGGGGGAATTGTTGGGGGGGGGGAATCGTTGTGGGGGGGGGGGGGGGTTGGGGGCGTGGCCTGGGAGTGGTGACGTGGCGGCCCCGTCCCCACGCGCCACTTCCGCCAGAAGCCGCGCGCCGGTGACGTCGCCGGGAGGGGGCGGGGGGTGCACGCGCGCGGGGCATTGTGGGGGCGGCGCCGGAAGGAGCCGCGTCGCTGCTGAGGCTCCCGTCGAGATGGCGCGGACAGCGGCGGCGGTGCCGAGGTGACGGGGGGCGAGAGCGCGGGGAGAGGAGCGCAGGGAGACGCGGGCGGGGGGGGGGCACGCGGCGGTAGCGGCGGGAGGTGCGGAGTCGCGGCGGGGGGGGGGTGGGGGGCATTGCCCGCCCCCCCCAAACGCTCCCCGCCCCCGCCATTGTATTTGGTAGCGCAAATCGGCGTGCGGCGCCGCGCGATTGGTCGGCGCGGGTCACGTGAGTCGGCGAGAGCCAATGGCGGCGCGCGGTCGCCGCTCTCACGCGCGTCCAGTGCGCGGATTTTGTGGTCGCGGCGGCGGCGCCTCCCGCCTGGCCCGGCCCGCGGCTCTCGGCTCGGGGCCGCGGGCGGTGCCCCCCTCGCCCCCCTGGCCCCCCTCGCCCCCCTGGCCCCCCTCGCACTCCCCCCGCGTGTTTACCCGGCGCCGGGGATGCCGAGCCGCTGGGCGAGGTTTTCTATTTGTTGTTTACACCTCGTAATGACATCCAGGTGAAGGCTCGCCGCCCGCCCTGCTAACGTGGACGTGCCGCAGCGTGCGCTGGCGGTTGGGCGCGCCAGCGGCGTGGAGCACGGAGACACTTTGCGGGCTGTGCTCTCGCGTTCGTCGGCAGACTCAAAGTCTAACGAGCTTGACGGGGACACTGAATCTCCATTCCACATTCCCATGACGAGGTCACTGTCCGGATAATGAGCGCTGTTGGACTTGCCACAGTTTCTGCTGCTACCTTTTTATCGACCCCCCCCCCCCCCCCAAGAGGTGATGTCGAGGATGATTGAATAATAATAATGTGTATGTAATAATATGTATGTATGCCGAGCTTTAAATTCAACTCGCAACCTTTAAATTGCCAAGTGGAGCGCGCGTGCAGGCCAAAACGCGAGATTGAGCCTGGAGTCCAAACGTAAAACCGGAGTGGAAGTCGTAAAGCGTTTCCTCAAATCCTCGTGTCCATTAGCGGTCCCATATCCTATGGTGTTTATCGACCCCGGAGGAGCGATGGGTTGTTGACTAGAGGTAGAACTTTCGCACCCTACGTAGCAACCCGTGCTAATCGGAGGTGCGAATGGCCATGGTGGTAATGGGATGATGATTTGACTCCCGGCTAGGATTTAAGCCCCCCCGAGGTTTGTGTTATACTTCAACCTTGGTAGGCGCTCACAACCCGCATTTGACTGGGTGGCCTTTACGGTTTAACCAGCAAATATCGGTTTTGGCTTTGAAAAATGGCAATGAGAAACACGGAAACACTTAAGGTTCAAAGCTTTTAAAAGGATACAAAGAATCCCATCCATTTCACTTACCAGGTATGAAACTGGTTGCTTTTCTAGTCCTATAAAACATCTAAAAAAATCTAAATGTTAAGTTTCTTTAAAAAAAACCTTGTTAGACTACTTGAGATGAATGTTTATGAAGTTTGCAAGCTTTTGGTCTATATAAGGTATAGTCCATAAGAGGTTTTTTTTGGGTTATAGCGCGTGAATATAAATGTGTTTTTAAACCCGCCACCACCCGACACAGCCAATTGAGTAAGGTTTATTACGTAAACAAAGTGCCAATTAGTAACTAGTACAGCACTAACCGGTGTGTTGGAGAGCAAATCCACAACATTTACAATCGGAGTACGACGTTTCGCCAGTAATTACAACCGGCATCATCAGGCGGACGGCCAGATTTTGTATACCAGATAAGGTATACTACTCACAGGCCGGTTGAGACAAGTTAAGGAACCCACTGCTATACTGCGTTCTCAAGGCCAGCTCAGCGGATTTTGTCGTCTCACAAAATCTGCGTGATTCATGAAAAACCCTTCGCCTCCAAAGCTCTGCGGTCACCGATGTGCAACACCACACCCAGGCCTAGGGAGGTAAACCTCTGATCTGACAACGTTGGCCAACTGTTTTACATTTCACCTGAAGGTGTTAATGGGCTTGACAGGTGGCGATGGCTGTGAGTTCGAGAGTGGCCTGTCACGTGGCAGGACAGCTTCAACAGTTTCAATCATCACTGGCTCGGGACGTTAGTGTTGCACTCAATGATTGATCTTGGAGGCTTTGTGTACTGTGTCTCTCTTTTGTGCTTATGTGTGTGTGTGTGCGAGATCAGGTTGTGTGTGCATCTGTCTGCCTGCGTTGTGTGTTTTTGGTTTTATTTTCAACACAAGGTGTAGCTGTACATTTGTGAAAATGTCTCGTTCACCACTGTTGGTTATAAGTTATCTTCACTTGTCGTCAGTCTCATTTAAAGCATAACTATGAAAATACCAAACACGGAAAGAGCCTATGGGGGACCATTTTAGGCAATCATTATTTTAGATTCTTTGGCTCTGTAGTGTTTTTATCACGAGAGCAGAGTTCATGTCTTTGCTTTAAATACAAACTCGTTAGAAACGTCCGTGAGTATGGATTTTCGCCAGGTCACGGCAGGTTTGTGCATACCTCTGAGCCCCACCTCACATGTTTACCCTTTACACGTTCTAACGCAGTGGATCCCATTAAGTGTCGTGTGCACGCCCTCATTGAAATTCCAGTGTCGCCAAGGAATTCGGAGCTTGTGAGAACAAAACGAATTTCTTCGTAAAACTTTTGACCCTTACTCTCAATATGCAAGCGGCGAGCACAATTCCTAGAGCCAAAAAGCCTCAACTAATGAGAAATGAGATTATCAAGCCAGGCAATAGCCATGGAGATATGTTGGCTGTTCAGTCAATGAAATTAGGATCACGTTTAATGCAGCACTGAAATATAAGCAGCAATGGCTAACTATGAGCCAAAATATAAAATTCAGTTATTACAAGCCAAATGCATTTGTGAAGTGGCTGCCAACCAAGCATCATTAGCTTTTGAGTAATACATTTAACACGAACTTGAGGGATATAAAATATATTTTCATAGCGAAAAAAAAAATTCACTGGTGAAATTATCTAAAGTTATTAACCTTATCCCTAAATTAATATCAAGATGATTTATAACAAAGGACATTTATTTTCATCGGCCTTCATGAAATAGTACTTTGTCAATTCACTGAGTCAGCAGTGTTTTTAAAAACTGTTCCTGAATGCTCGAATGTAATGGAATGGAAGAGTCCTCGAGTTGAATTTGTTTGCAACCTTTTGCAGACACTGTTGCTGTGTTGGTCCAACGGGATTTAGAGGGGAGGGGTGGTAATGAGCACTGTGCCTTACAGCGTGGCTACCAGGATTAAATTCCAGCCTCCCCTTCACCCGCCAGAGCCTGAAATGAATACCCGGTGCAGCGGTTGTGTCACTTGACAACACAGGAAGGCACGCAGGGGCAGTGCTCTCTCCTGCTATTGCTTAGCCACACAACCACTGCTCGAAAACACAATCGCCGTGCTTGTCTTCCCTGAGAGATAATTTAGAAGAGACGGCGCGGTATCGGCGATGTCTCGGTTGCGCTTTCACCGCCGTTGAGCGCACAGCGACGCCCACGTTAATGTTCACCTTCCTTTTCTTCCAGGCTCGGATGCTGCTGACGGACGAGCGAGCGATCGATCGAAAGAGTCTCGCCTCTCCACGCTGCGCCGCCACCATGGAGCCCGACGTCGCCCCCATGTACTCGTCTTCCCCTCCCCCGCTTGACGACAGTGCCATCTCCGACGAGGAGGATGACGACTTTGGCGACTTTGCCGACTTCACGGCCGTGGCGGCACACGAAGACGCCTTTCCTGACTTGGACGCCGGCGGGGGCGGCCCGCTGCTTCCGGAGTCCGAGCCTCCGCGGCGCCCCCCGGCGGGCGACTTCCCGGCGTACGTGGCGAGCGGGCCGACGGGCGCGCGCGGCGGCGCCGTGTCCGACCTGCGGAATAACAACGACGGTGGCGTCGGCGGCGCGGTGTCTCGAGAGGACGATGGGCCGCCGACGAGGCCGCAGGACAAGGCGAGGCAGAGGCTGGGCTCGGCCAAGCAGAGGCTCGCAGCGAGCCCCGACAGCTGCCACAGCAGCGACGCCAGCATGGAGACGGAAAGCGCCAGCAGCGGCAGCAGCGCTTCGTCGTCAACGGAGCGAGCCGACGGCAGGTAGCCGCGTGGCCTCGCGCGATCCGGGCCTGGTGAATGGTTTTGACGCGGGGCACCCCGCCAAGGGGACGGCGCCAAGCGAGGTGCACGAGCAGAGCTCCGACATCGCGACGACGGTGGCCAGGAGGAGGAGAAGCGTGGAGCCCAGCCCGGCCTCCACGCCCTGCGCCAGCCCCTGCCCCAGCCAAGACGGTTTTGGTGACTTCGAGGAGCCAGGCGCCGAGCCTCGGCCTCACCCGACCAGCGAAACGACTGCGGCGTCCTTAGACGGTGTTGGAGCGCCGGAGGCCAATGGCACGTGGGGATTGCCAGACCCGGCAGAATCACCACACCCACTGGGCTCCGGTCAATTCGCCGACTTCGCTGCCTTCGCCTCCCCCTCCCTGTCCGCGCTACCGGATGGCGAGGAAGCGACCCCTGGCGATGTCACCACTGAAAGCGAGCGCACAGCGAGAAGCGCTGTCGGAAGCGGAGCGGAAGCGGACACACGGGAGACCGTGGACTCGGACGAGGGTGAGCCGCACGCCGCCACGTGCTCCGCCGAGGTCGACGAGCGCTTAGAGAGTCGGGCCGGTACTACCGACACTCTCCTGGCCGTCGAAGACACGGAATTTGCGGATTTCAGCAGCGCTGCCTTCATGGGTGGCGACGATGTCGTCGCCGCCGCCGTTGATGCCGAGAGAACTTGCCCGTCGGCGTCCGACGATGCGAGCTGCTCGCGTGACGCGGCAGCCATCGACAAAAGCCATGCCCCCTCGCACCTGGAACAACCCGGCGCCGATGACTCCTGGACAGGCATCTGCGCCAATGAGGGTGCTCCGACGAGGACGCCTCCTCTCACCGCCCCAGCAGAGTTCCCACCCAGTGACAATGACGCCGATGGTGCCGCTCACTCCGCAGACTCCGAGCAAACGCCCGCGGAGCCCCGTAGCACACAGGAGCCGCTCACAAACCTTGAAGATGCTGATGATTTTGGCGATTTTGACGTGGCCGCGACCGCCACTGCTGGTGCTACTGCTGCCTCTACTGCCCCTACTATGCTCTCGGAACAGCCGACGGGTGCCGGGGACGAGGAAGAGTTTGCCGATTTCTCGGCGCCGGCCCCGCAGCAGCTGAGCGCAGATGACGCCGAAGGGGAGGATGATTTTGGCAGCTTCAGAGAGGCGTCCGCAGCCAAGTCTCCCGCCTCTGAGGACGATTTTGGCGACTTTGGCGCCGCCGTCGTCGCTGTCGCAGATGGAGACGCGCAGGGTTCGCTCGCAGCCTCGGACTCGGCTGAGTTTGGAGACTTTGCGAGCGAGCAGGCGGCCGGGGCCGATGGTGACTTGAATGACGGCGATGGCTTCGCGGACTTCAGCCGTGCACGGAGTCCCCTGGGTAAGGAGGGTGAGGCACAGCAGCAAGACGAAGAGGAGGGTGGCTGGGCTGCGTTTGGGACAGCGCAGAGCAGCGATGAGTTTGGGGCGTTTGGAGAGGCGCCCGGCAGCAGTGGTGGCACGCGTGGTGTTGAGTTTGGCCAGGGAGGAGCAGCAAGAGCCGGTGCAGCCACTGCGGCTCCCGCGGATGTCAGCACGGTGAGTGTTGGTGGCTTGTGATTGGCATTTGCGGTTTGTCGGGAGAACAGCACGAAGCAATATTTGTCTTAATTTTGCCGATTTCAAAGGTCTGGATCTATCTATGTAGGATATAATTTTTGTTATAAGTACACATGTGAAAGTAGTAAGCAAATTACCTATAGGCTTAAAAAGACAAAATTCCGACCTAACAGAAAGATAGTGGGGCACGATAAGTTGAAGAGTTTAGAGGTGTAGAGCGCTTTGTGTGGCAGAGCTGGCGAGAGAGCACGAGTCACACGGCGAGTTGAAGAGATGCGAGTGAAGCAAGCGCGGTGACGGACGGGTGGCGGAATAACGTAGGTGGCTCCGGAGGTGCGCCGACGATAGAAGCACCGGCGGGAGGCGACAAAACCACAAATGAGAGTGTTCACAGTTTGAAGTTTATTTCGTCTACCGGACCGCAAGAGAACAGGACAGTCTCATTCGCGAGAGTGAACCTGGGTCACTCCAACAAAGGAAATACATCGGAACAAAACACCATAACATGAGCAATCACAAACATTGCAAACATCAATCAATATTAAATCAAAGCTTAATGTCTGATTACTTTGCAGTGTAAATTTGCTCGGGTGGATGATCAGACCGATCTTGGCACGTGACAAAACTAAGCCATGGAAACATTCAATAGATAGATAGTCACATGTGCGAGACGCATAAGAGGCCAACAGCTGTTCATTATGTTCTCGTAATACGACAATATAAACCCTACCCTATCGAAAGCTCTCACTCTTTAATGACTGAATATATTACTGGTAGGAACCTCCTGGTTACACCAGCCCACAGGGGATTATTGTGTCCGTCCGTCGTGCAGGGAGGGGCTGGGTGGGGAGGGAGGGGCTGGGTGGGGAGGGGAGGGTGGGAAGGGGCTGGGTGGGGAGGGTGGGGCTGGGTGGGGAGGGTGGGGAGGGGCTGGGTGGGGAGGGGCTGGGTGGGGAGGGGCTGGTCACTCCATGGTGCCCTTATAAAACTTAACGTTTAACCTACTCTGGCCGGCTTGTGCCCGCCCTCACAGTTGGGCATATTTGCGGAATACACCACGCCGCCGTTGACCCTGGCCATTGACCGAGCAACCCAACGTTCCTACCAGCTCCCTCCGCAGGAATGTGCTTGTCCGGTACTGAATGGTTGGTGCTTTGGCTAGTTAACGTCACTCACAATCGGAGTCCATGTCCCTGCCTCTTAGGAGTTGTACTGGCTCAGGGTCGTAAGTTAAGATTCTTGCCTCCTCCATTTGAGCAGGGGTGCCGTTTTGGTACAGTTTAGCTAAGGCTGGGTGACGTGTACATTCAGTACGAGAAAATGATGCGTAAGCCATTTAGGAACGTTGAATTCTCATTGTTATCAAGTATCGTGTGACATTGATTTCTCACTCTAATTATTCAGTTGGAAACAATATTTGTCAAATACTCCGAAAGTTGCAAATTCAGCGACTTTAATCGAATGACATTTTTATCGCTACATGGCAGCCACCTTGGTTGAAGGGGTCTGATTTTTTTCAACTTTTGGTTTATAAATCCTGACTGGCCCAATAACTGCCCTTCTCACAGCTGACAGAATATATTTTTCTATTTTCTCTTTTGTAAAGGAGTTTAGCTGCCACTGTCACAGCGGGGCCGCTTGTGTCTCTCAAAATCTCAGCAGCATCTTTATTAAGATGCAAGTGCCTTAGCGGGTCGTTAGCATTCTGCAGAGTGAGCTCACTGTCATCATTCACCCTTTTCAGCTGCGAATTGCTTATTAATCCACTTCTCAGTCAGTAATATTCATAAGTATCGACCCTAAAGAGGTCTTGACGGAGGTGCAAACTCAAATGCAAACAACATTGTTTCACTTCGACTTGAAACGTTCAAGTGTTTTTAGCTACGAACCGCAGCGCTTGGCTGCATTGTTTGTAGCAATGGCCGAGGTCACTCATGTGTAACAGCATTATTGTAACAAGCAGGAGGATGTGGAGATGTGTTCTCGATAAAAATTCTAGAGGCAAAAACGAGAGAGAGGGAACACTGAACCCATCATGGGACCTCCTTTGCCAGTACCAAAATATAAGAATAGGTTTTTCCCCTTTTTTGTGGCAACAAAACTGAAACCTTTTTACGAGGAATCATGTCTGCATTAACCACAATACGTGTGGTCAAAATGCAAACAAAAAAGATACTCTGATAATATATGCATTGTCTTTGAAACTGATTGGTCCACACCAGAGACGGCTTTCTTTTGAGCCTCGTCTCAAACGGTGTTAGACCAGAGGACGCCAAAAGGCGTTCTTACCACAAGCATTGTGGTTAATGCAGACATGATTCCTTGTAAAAAGGTTTCAGTTTTGTTGCCATAAAAAAGGGGAAAACCCTATTCTAACACTGAACCCGGCTGGCTTTTTCGATGAGACAGATGAATTGATGAATAATTCAGGTGCCTATGCGATTGCCTTGCATGCTAATGGTTTGATGAGCTCCTCGGAGCTGAGCGGCTGCCAGGAATGAATTTCTGCTCTGCGAATTTCATCGCATGGCACGGCACGCAGCACGGGAGCGTTGCAGGTGCGGGGTGGGCTGGGAGGGCAGAGTCCGGTGCTTCGGAAAACCCATCATTAATTCATCCTCCCCTGCTCTGCTTACCACACAAAACACGACCGGCGTATAACGGGAGCCTCGATTCATACCACGAGAGGGAGAGAGGACAGACTTCGGGAGCAGCCAAGGAGAAAGAGAGACCTTCCTCCAGTCGTGTGGAGATCACGAGTCTCCCGCGAGGAGTAAAGCGGGCGGCAGTGTTTTGCTGGAGCACGAAGGAGAGCGAAGAAAACTTTTTTTGCGCACAAAACTGCGTTGCTTTCTTCAAATGACGTGTCACATCCCGCGGTAATCGCTGCAACTTTGCTGCTTTTGTTTCACGATAAGGCTTCATGTTAATTATTGAGCAATTAGTCAATCGCGGCCAATGTCTCCAATGGTTACGACAGTAGTAGCGGAGGCTCTTTTCTGAGCGCGTGACCCAAGGAGCCCGGCAGGAGATCTAGGCAAGGACTAGGAATAAAAAAAAATCATTTCAGAAAACCAAATAAGTGAAAATATTACATTAAGGTGAATTAAATATTTACCTTCACAAAGCACGTAATCTACTTTTCCTGTTCATCGTGTCCATGAACAATAGCGGTTCCCTTGCCATTATTTATTAACTATTATTACTACACTTACCCAGGAAAGCCACACTGACTCGTGACTTTTGCAGGTGGCTCTTGCCAAGTTGTCGAAGGAGGACGGCAACTTAGAACATTTGTGATTTGGAGTCCCCGCACAGAGTTACATTTCTCAAGTTTTTTAAGCCCCACGTTAAACAGCACAGACGACAGCGTTGCTTTAATGAACGTTATTTAATGACTATTTCACCGTTTAACTCCAGCTGATGAGATGTAAAAGTTTGGAGAAATGAAAGAGTTTAATCAGTACATGGAAACTGACCTCGCTACAATGCTTGATTGCCAAAAGTCTGATATTTTAAAAAATCTATTTGGCAGTTATTCCGCCAGAAAGTAGTAGGTGAGACCTTGGCACCTGCACGTGTGTGGGACTCGATGTCTTGCACGCTACGATTGTGGCTCTGGAGGTGCAAATGTAACCTGCGGTCCACACTTGCTCACCGGCGCTTGGTGCTGGCGAGTGTCTGCATCTGTCGACAGAACAGGCTGATCCGTGCAGCTCACAGCCGAATATTTGCACAACATTTGGTGACCTTATTCATAAAATTCCCTGCAGACAAAGTATTCAAAGTATTAAAAATATGGTAAGCCGAAAACATATGTGCGTCGTCGCGTTTCTCACACGTGCGCGCGTGTCCGTGTCCCCTTGCCGCTCCAGCTGTCCCTGCTGCAGCGCGTGTTCCAGGCGTGCTTCCCGTGCCCCTCGCTGGCGTGGGCCGAGGATGCTGTGGTGCCCCTCCGGGAGGTCATGGTGAGCGCCCCCCAGGGGGCCGAGGAGGAGGTTGCCCGCCACAGGTGAGAGGCACCGTGCTCTCGTAGTCACGTGCGTGCGCGTACACACACTTGCACGCACATAGATGCTCCTGTTCTCATGCACGTACGTACACGCACATGCTCTCATACACACACGTACACGCACGTGTGCTCACGCACGTGCTGTCATGCATGCACGCACGTACACACGCACGTACGTACACACGCACGTACACGCACGTGTGCTCATGCACGTGTTGTCATGCACCCATGCATGTGTGCACAAAGATTCCCCTTGTAGCCTTTTAAAGGCTTTTGGGGAAAGTGCTGTTCGCGAGCACCAATGAAGGCCGGTGTGGCACACGAGGGGGCGGGTGGCCAGCACCACGCCTGGCCGCCTTTATCTCTCTCGTGGCGACGTTCACACATCGCACTCGCTACTCATTTTAGGCTGAAGTTACATAGAGGAGGCACAGGACTGGTTCAGATATTTCTCGCTGGTGTTGGTGGCGGTGAGTGGGAATCAGAAGTTGCGTCGCCGGGTTCGTTGCGCAGCATGCTAATCGCTGCACTACCGCTCCCCATGCACGCACGCACGCACACGTGTACATGCGTGCTCTAGGTCATCAGTCAACGGGCATAAAGGGGTTGCCGGGGCCCCTCAATTCTACCACACGCTTGGCTCTGCTTAACGAAAGGACGCCCCAGATGCCACATAAATAACTATGCACTTTCTATTGGTTTGATGAATGTTCATGATTCTATGTCACTATTTAGGAATTGTTTGTATATATTGAATGTTCTGCAGTGATGTGGCCTGCCGGTTACACGTGCGGCGCTAGTTGCATAGCTCCGTGGTTTTAATCTAGCGGCCTTTATGCACGTGTCTTCACATTAATTATACGCGCCGTCTGCTTCAGAATGGACATTGAAGATCCTGTGACGTCTTTCGCAAGACTAGAGCAAATTGGCCAAATAAATAAATTTGCCTCCAAATTATTCGATTGGCTTCATGAATCGCAAGTGCCCCCCCCCACCTGTTCACTACTGGCAGATCACAGAGCCGGGGCAGATCACAGAGCCGGGGCAGATCACAGAGCCGGGGCAGATCACAGAGCCGGGGCAGATCACAGAGCCGGGGCAGATCACAGAGCCGGGGCAGATCACAGAGCCGGGGCAGATCACAGAGCCGGGGCAGATCACAGAGCCGGGGCAGATCACAGAGCCGGGGCAGATCACAGAGCCGGGGCAGATCACAGAGCCGGGGCAGATCACAGAGCCAGGGCAGATCGCAGAGCTGGGGAAATTGTTTGTGCCGGTTCCAGTTTGTCTGTGGTTACCTGCCCTAACGAGCGAACAGCCCCGCTCTCGTGAGTAACTTTTCTGATGTTCTGGTGCCTTGTTCGTTCACTTAGCCCTAGCGCGCCATTTGTGTGCAATTGGCGTGTACTTCGAGTAATTGAACCTCAAGTGGATACGTACCCTGGACAGAGTTTACCCACACACCTGCCATTACAATCACCATCCCTTACCCCCTCGCGTCTTTCCCACCGTGTGTAAATGTTGAGTTGTGAGGTCACATTTAGATGTTTTATAAAGTGTTGAACTTTACGTTGTTTAACCAGGTGTGTATTCAAGAGACAAGGATGTGTTTGATTTTCAAATTCGCCTGGGGGTGTTAGTCTATCCATCCATAATAGATGTTTTTTTAGTTAGATCGCGTAAATATAAATGTGTCGTTAAACCCGCCACCACCCGAAACACAGCCAATTAGTAAGGTTTGTCACGTAAACAGAACGTGGCCAATTCGTTACTAGTACAGCACACCGGTGTGTTGGAGAGCATATCCACCACATTTACGATCTGATTGTTTTGCCAGTAATTATAACTGCCATCATCTAACCTAAAAAAAAACTGTATTATGGATGATATTGGTCACAAAAGTCTACGTGTTAAACTAGTCTATCCATATGTTGTTTTATATTTTTATTATTTTATTGTTTCCCTTCTAAGTGACTTTACCGAAAGAACCAAGAATATGAATCCCTGCAGTCACGAAAGCTTTAAATCGAAATTTAGTCTATCCATGTTAATGTTGTCAGTCTTTCATCTGGAGAGGGGAGTGATGATTGAAATGTATTATTCCAATCGAGTGGTTGGCGGGTAATTTTTAAATCGCCAAATTTGGATCCCGACGCTTGCACCCAATGGCCAACTCTTGCCAACGCCACCGGAGGATCTCGAACGACACTGGGCGGGGAATCTCTAACGCCCCCTGTGAAGCAGACGGCGTGAATTTTAACCATGAATCCTCGCTACCGCTGCGCCGTCTGACCGCCCTGTCAATCCAAATTGCTTGGTGTTGTGTTTCCCTTGCTCTCCGCCATGAGCTTTAACTTTAATAAATGAGAACGTGGGGATTTTAGACTTGAAAGGAGGAGTTAAGCAGGATTAACCTTTTCCAGTGGTGGACAACCACAGATTTAACAACACATACCTCGGGTCACTTCTGCGACTGCAAGAGGCCCGTAGAGTGGCTGAAGTGACCGGGCACGCTACAATACCAATGCAATGTTGTTGCTGGCTCGACAATATTTCCCTCTAGTACCTGATTAGTGTGGCTTCGAAACTTTAAGTGAGGGATAAATATTGTTTGCGTGTAATTTAAAAAGTGGTAGGCCTTAATGTGCTGGCAGTCGTATGAAATGAAGCCCTTAAGGGTGTAGTTTCCTCACCTTTGCTTTAAAGTTTCTGATAAAGCGTTGCCACTGTAGTTGCCCAAGTTATGTTGCTGAGCGAATGCTGTTCTACAATGATTTTCCAGCCCATAACTTCAAAAACGATGATCTCGTATTAGATAGCCTAGAACACAGAGGCTTATCTGCAAGATAAGGGCCGATTGAATGTTTTATTCCACGTTCCTTGAAGCGCGCATGCCCCATGGCTATGTCGTCATGCTCCGAGCGCCTGTGTGTTGTAGTCTTCTCATGTGTGGACCGTGAGTGAGGCTTTTTTGGTTTTAGAGCTGCTTTAATACTTCAATACTATCAGCTTTTTCAAACGAGCGGCCAGAGTGCCCTTTGTTTTCCCCATACTCTAATCAGGAGTGTGTTCCGTTTGACGAGGGGGGTGACCGGGTGGCTTCTGAGAAAACATAACTCTAGCCTTCCAAGACTACAAAGTGCCCACTCCAGGATGATAATAATAGTTCAATTTATAACGCGCCCAAATTTGCGGACGTAATGGCCGCAACTCAGAGGCGCGGTGAAAACGACCCCCTTCAAGGTGACGATGGCGACGGCAGTAAACCCCACAACAGCAGCCCAGAGCCCCGGTTCACGCAGACTTTTATCCCCCGCACGACCTGGCCACGCCCCTATTCCCGAACCCTCTCTCACCGCACCTGGCCCTGTCTGTCTCTTGCCCTTGTTACAATTTACGACCGTTAGGGTCCCGTGCTTCCCCTTGCGGACTCTGTCAAAGCTTGTCGCATCAATCATTATTAGCAACTACTTAGGTCCCACGTTACCCTAACGTGACCCTGTCTGTTCCTGTTACGTTAATCGGTAACAATGGCCACGAGGAGCCGTACTGTCCCTACATCACCCCGTACTGTCCCTACCATGGGAAGTAGAATGCATCACAGGAGTGGGTCTGTGTTGTCTTTCAGACGCCGCTTGCTCTCGAGCATGGGGTGGTGAGCCTTGCCTTTTGCCATAAATTATTTTGCATCACGAATGGTGCCGGTCGGCACAGTTGGAATGTAATTGGGAACATAAATTATAGGGTTGTGCAGATAGAGAAGAAAGAGGTACATTAAAGTGTAGATTGTCAGAGAAAGAGCTTTATCAACATTTTAGTGGATATTGTCAAGTATACATTCGGTTCCAGCCCCCCCCCCACCTCTTAAACACACAGTTTGTGTGCCCTTGGTAAGTGTTGACGACGTACTCAAGTCATTCAGTGTGAGTGTTGTGTCTCTGACAGGGAAACGTACTTGCCTTGTTGCTGTAGGAACGCTGCGGGGCTCGTGACACGGATGTGTGGGGGAGTGGGGCGCGGCTGCCACCTTGCGCTCGCGCGCGCTCTGATCGATCGGTTGGATCTAAGTGGCTCTCATTGATCTGCAATTCCCCCAATGGGAGACCGACCATGGAGGGCATAAACACAATCACGCCGCGCGTGTTTCCGCTGTCCAGTGGGGCGATATCCGTCCTAAAAGCGGCAGAGAGGATCGGTGGGGTTCACCGTCGGGATTAGGATAAGTGTAACCTCCCCCTCCCTCGCCCCGTTCCTTCGTCAAACAAACCAACACCATTGGCTGGTGAATCCAGCAATGGCTGTTGGGGACTGGGGGCCATGGTGTAGACGAGTAGGTCATCGGGGGGAGGTGGGGGGGTTTGACCATACTTGACCACTCCTGGTTGGTATGGGTTGATAAAGGTAACACGATTTATCTCGCTAAGTAACCTGACTGGGTACCGGGGTGCTCAAATGCAGGACAGCTACTCGGATCTGCAACGCCCTTAAGCATCTTCTCCCTGGTAAAGCAGTGCTCCGTTGAAGAAGTGATATGGTTAAATGAACGACAATGAGAGACAATGTTATTTTGTAAATTTATCTTACCAGGTAAAGCCCACTGAGTTATATGGCTGTTTTCCAGAAGCGACCTGGCAATCCACGCAACCACGGGGGAGAACATGCAAACTTCCAAATATGCAGCAGGCGTCAGGGTCAGGATCGAACCCACAACCCCCTGTATACAGGGCGAAGGAGTTAACATCTCGCCACCGTGGTTGTTTTCTTGTGTTCACCATAAAAATTATCTGATCAGAGTAAAAAAAAAGTTAATGTGGTGCATTCAAGTTCAATTATTGTCAAGCAAGCATCTGCGTTTCCACGAGCAGTGTTGCGCAAACTTTTTTGTTGTCTTTTTCCCCGACTTTATTCCATTCGCGCCTTGGGCATCTTGTCATGAGACAACACGTCAATCACCCGCTGACGGAGAACAGCCCGCGGCAGAGAGTGGTGGTGCAGATCCACCACTTGAGATCTCCTCAAGCGATCTCTTGTCCCCACACTGTCGCTTTTGCCATGGAGACATTCATCACATGTATGTTGTGTGTGTGTTGGATTTCTTTCGCCGCTGTACGTAGCCAACCGAGCTAATCGGAGGTGCGCGGGAAGGACAAGAAACTAAATGCAAAAAGTAGTTCTCAAGAAATTAGTTTTCAACTGAGAAGTGAGTTTTCATGGCAGGAATAACCAACATTTAATGCTCAGAACTGATTTGCCAAACTAAGTTAAAACCCATATTTAGCTTGCTGGATCCTTTGTGTAGTCATCATGGTGACTTGGCTAGGACCATCAGCCCACTCGACTTTAGAACCCAAACCTCATCACGGGCGGCTGCCAGTATTGGAACCCAGCGGGTCTCAGCGGTGCGAGCTCAACGTTTTAAACCCCTGAGCCACCAGGCCATCGCCAAATACGATGGCTGGAACACCGCTGTGTTAGATGGAAACGAGATAGCGTCGTGGCGGATGGTTATCGCCACTGTCACAGAGAAGAGGGCGTCTCAGCGGGGGCGCCAGACAAACACACATCCCGGAAGAATAAGTGAGCAGCCGAAGGTGTGATTGCGTTTCCATTCAGCGTAAATGTCAGGCTTTCCATAAAGAGGGACGGCGCATTTGCTTGGGGCTCTAGGAGGGGGCGTGCACACCTCCGAGACACGGGGGGTGTTTCCGTCGGCGGTGAGAGCTTGGCTTGTAACGATATTATCCTTTCCTCGGAGATTCAATCAGTTGTCACCATACCACTTCACAACCCCATAATGTATTCTCATTGTCAATATGGCATTTGTATTCTTTCTCATTTAGTTATGTCTTAATTGTGCAGTTTTGTTTGTCTAGATTAGCCCGAATGTATCATCAGCATCAGCAGAGCGGTACTAGCGGTGCGAGCGGTACTAGCGGTACTAGCGGTGCTAGTGGTGCGAGCGAATCAGCGCAGCGAGGACCCCTCGCTGGCACGGCGCGCCGTCATGCAGGGTCCCCGGGCGCCTGCTGTTGGCAGCCTGGTGAGACGGCGCAGGGGGATGCAGGGAGACGGTAATTTGTGCCGCTGCGGAGGGTGATGGATGCGGTGTGACACGCGCTCACTCTGTTTCCCTTTTCTTCGTCACGTGCATTAGTTTATTGTTTCGGGTTTTATGCCAAATCGCAGCGACTTCTCTTCGCGTACTAAGTGGATGTGCTCTGGGAAATACGGATGCAAAGTGCTACGCATTGGCAGAGTGATCAATCCACTATCATCTAAACCCGAGCTTTGATTACCGGATTGCCCATGAGATGCCGATGCGGTTAATTTGGCTTCCACAAGCGTTGCTTCTCGGCTTCGTGGTGGCAAGCGTGCGCTGCCCCCCCCCCCCACCCTTGAACAAACACGAACACGGTGCATATCGCTTGGTGCCCACGCTTCATCCGTTGCTGAGATTTATTCTGAAATCCGCTACCCTCTCACCAAGGCGTTTAATGGGAACTCTGCCTTGATTTTGCCCTTTATTAGCGTCGTCCCCTCTTTGGCTGTGTTGAATCGAGACCTTCACTGCGCACCGGCTTCCTGTGGTCGCTTCCTGTGTTTCGTTGTTGAGGACAGGAACGTCTCTGACGACATTGCGGTTTTTCCGTGAGAATCGAGTCGATTTCGCTCCCAGGTTTGTTTCCAAGATTCCTTTGTTTTTGAAAAACGGTGCCCGATTACTTGCACACGGCCCCTGTTGGCTGTGAACTCACAATAGACTGTCTCATAGGTACTGTCCCTGCCTTATGCCAGCAGTAGACAGATCATCGCGGATGACGACGAGTGAAAGTTGTTACCTCATTTTTATGATTTGGTGTAAAGCTACCAAGACAGTTAATGTTATTGTTGTTACTAATGCATTGTTATAACTACTAGCACGATTCTTTGTGGAGGTTCTTAATTCACACTCTCTTTAGTATTTAATCGTTTTGCTGCACAGCGCGACGTAGGCGTAGCGACGACGATGTCTGCACCCTCAATGCGGCAGTGCCACAAGTACGGCTGTGCGTGGTGCTTCGTGTGTTAATTGCACGCACGTGGAAGCCCCGAATTCGGTCGGCAAAGTAAATCGATTAATTATTCATAAAGACCGCTCCAGAAAGGGTTCACAGCGGTGCCGGCTTTAAACAAACGCCTTTTATAACTTTATAGAGTTGTGAGCGACGGCACGGCGCACGTAAATTTCGGTACCCCCCACCACCCGCGCACCGTGCGACTGACGCCGCACATTAAAATGAAGTCGCCAGAGCGCGTTTAGAGATTCACCACCACCACTGCGACGACTCAGCCCGTTAAGCCGGCAGTGAAGCGGGCTCCCTGCTGTTTGGACATCTGCAGAAGCAGCCTTTTATACTCGCTCGGGATAGATTCCCTGTCTGCTGATCGCTTACACTCAGTGACTGCCTCATCCATTTTATGAGTCAATGAAATATTCCGCTTCTGCTCGATGTTTCTTTTTTTCTCTCGCTTTCTCGTCTCCCTCGGCAATTTTCCCAGCGTGATAAAAGAACAAAGGCACGCTGCCTGTCGTAAGGCACGTCAGATTGTATTCTCGACAGACGTCTTACTCCTAATGGACGCACCGCCGTCTCTTACCAGACGGCCCGTCCCTACGCGTCGTCGCTAAACGTACACGCACCCTCGTTCTCACGGGCCCTCTACGCGTCAGCTAGAAGAGGTGAAGCGAGCCAGACGAGCGCGAGGGAACTTTCAGAATGCTGATGAGACCAGGGTCATGAGAGGGCCGGGCCTGGCGGGTGGGCGGGCAGGCCGGGAGGCAGAGCAATCACCCGTGGGTGGATCGCGATCGCAGTCGGAGACGGCTCCCGTCGGCGTTAACCAAGTGAGTCGGCGGTCGCGCTGGCGGCGGCGGCAGCTGCTGCTGGATGCGTCGGGACCTCCGTGGGCGTGAGCGTGGGCCGGTGCGTGACGTTGCACCACGCATGTGCGTGCGTACGTGCCTGCATTTGCGTGCGCAAGGGCGAGCTCGCGTGCTAGCTCGGATCAGACGCGTTGACGGCCGCGTCTTGCGCGTCGCGCCTCCCAGCAACACGACCTGGCCGCCCCGTGGGAGACCCCGGGTTTTGGCGATCGATTAACGGGGTGTGCGTGCGTGTGTCTGCGTGTGTCTGCGTGCGCGTGTGCTGGCAGGCCGGCGCTGGCCCTGTGGGCGGAGCTGGTGGAAACGGACGACGCTCACGGCCTCAGGTACCAGTGGGGCGGCTCCCACACCAACAAGAGGCTGCTGTCGGCGCTTGGCATCGACACGCGCAACATCGTGAGTGTCGCCCGCTCGCTCGCCAACGAAACTACTAAGTGGCGGACATGGCCACCTGTCGGCTCACTAACCTGCTCGTTTGCTCAACCACCCGCTTGTTTGCTCGATCACCAACCTGCCTCCTCTGCTTACTTGTCCACCCGCTCGCCACCTCGTCCACCTGCTCACTAATTCAGCCACTTGCTCGCTCATTCACCTCATCCACATCATTCACGTTGCCTCTCGCCCTGTGTTAGAGCATCATGCTCCTCGTTGAGTCGTCTATCGTGTTTTGCCAGTGGAGCCAGGCATGTGCGTTGCATGTTTATTGTACATTGTGTGATGTTCCTTCTGAAGTAGTTCTATAACGACATCTTCTGGGGTCTGTTCTCCGTGTTCCGAATTCATGTTTCCTCGTTTTGGTTGAGTAGTAACGTATTATTATTTGAGTATGGGTGATGACACGAGTGCATTGCATTATCTGAACAAGGAGTAAGTGCGAGTCTGTGCGGACTCATCACGAGCGTCGAGTTCACAGAATTCTGCACGCGTGTGCCGAGCGTGCCACGTGTGGAAACGCACGTTTACCGAGCGTGTGTAGTGAGTGTGCGCCGAATCGGAATATCTCGGCTCAGTGCAGCCGACAGGTCAAGGCGCGGAGCGGACAGCGCTGTGTCCACACGTGGGGTGCAGTTTCCCCTAACATCGCAAACTCTGGGGGGTTGGGGGGTCAGCCTCGCGCCCCCAGCGTGTCATGCACGCGTGCGCGGCCCTCCAGCAGTAAGGTAGAAGCACGCAAGGTTAAACGCCGATGGATTAATTGATTAACTACCTCACAGTGAATCAATTAAGCGAAGCAACATTAGCTGAAGCCCACTTTGCTCGGCCCTCGTTAAAGTGTTTCCTGGAAGCGTGCGTTCGCATTCCCAGTCTGCAGGGAAATGAGCTGCAGTCGCTGTGATTGTTTCTGTCAACGCTGTCTCGCGACGAACGCCAAATGCCAATGATAAATCGTGACCTTCTCTCCTCCGTGTACCGTCACGTTGCGTAAGAATTCAGAGGGGAGTTGTTTCCAATGCAAAAAATATTCAACGATCTGACACTGCAAATATATTTATTCAAGCGGTCCCCAACCAGGATTTGAACTCTCAACCTTCCCAACCGCAGTGCCGCCCGGCTGGGCTCCGAAGGGGCTGTTAATATCGTGACAGAACGGTCGTTTGGTGCACGCCGGTTCCATCTGTCGTCTGCTTTCTTTTGTCGCCCTTCCCCCCTCCCCGCAGCTCTTCACCGGGCAGAAGAAGCAGCCTGTCATTGTGCCGGTCTATGCCGCCGGCCTGGTGAGTCGCCCTCCCTCCCTCCCTGCCTACCTCCCTCCCTCCCTGGCCCTTCCACCCGCAACAAACCCATGGTCGTTTTGCCGTGGACACGGGACCCCCGTGACGCTGGGTTGCGTTTTGATCGCGGGGCCGCACACAAACGGGAAACGCGCCACCAGTGCCGTCCTCCTCGCTGGCGTACAGCGGAAGGCTTGTCTAGTGGAGAGACTGGCCTTTGCCACAGAGCGTGGAACTTACTGTCAGATCAACCTCACCAATGGAGATGAACACTGCCCCGCGCTTGTTTGAGCGGGGAGAGACGTTTGTTTGTATGTATATACGTTGAACTTATTTCGCACGTTATGTAGCCGACCGTGCTGAAAGGAGGTGCGATACTCTGACAAAAAAAAGAAGAGGAGCATTTTGTCCCATGGCTTTTCTTCAGACCAGAGGGAACATGGAGAGATTGTGTGATACATTAGCTCAGATTAGGCCCATTCATTGCAGGGCAGTATTTGTTAACATCCACACTGGTCAAGTGTTGCCGGATTCTATGGTTTTAAATCAGATTTTTTTTTAAGTGTTACGTTACATACGACCGAGTGCCGTTTTAGGGAAAGTTTTTACCATCGATTGGGCAACGTTTGACGACATAACGCAAAACCGATTCATCTCCCTTAAGCGGCATGCGATACGGAATTTTGCGTTCTCCCAGCTCTCCACAATTTCAACCGCGTGCATTGTGTGCCACGCACGTTAAGTGCTGTGTGTGTTGTTGTTGTCGTCGTTGTGCTGCGTGTAGGGCATGCTGGAGCCCACCAAGGGCCCCATGAACCCCATCTCTGCGGCCGAGAAGATCGCTTCCATCGCGCAGGGCTCGGGCACGGCGACGCCGGGCGGCGCTGGCGCCGCAGCGTCCGGCGAGAGTGCGCAGGCAAGACGGGGCGCGACCTCTAACCTTGACCCGTGAAGCGCGACCTTTAACCTGCCGCTAAACGAGAACTCTTGAGACCTCATCCTAGAATCATAAATCCGAAGCCTCGTTTTCAAGCTCCAGCCCCTCAACCCAATAATGAAACCTGGGCCCCAAAAGTAATTCGCTTCATCTTAACTCTGAACTTTTAGCACTGACCCTAGCCACTTCTGAATCCTAGCTGTGAACTTTGAACCTTGACCCTTAATCTACATTTTCTTCGTATCTCTAACCCTTAAACCCTCACCCATAAGCCACTTTCTTGAACCCTAGCACTGAACCTTGAACCCTGACTCTAAATTTCTGGCCCATAACACACTTTCTTGAACGCTAACTCTGCACCCTGAACCCTCAATCTTTGACCTGAACCATATCCGTAAACCCATCCGGTCAGACATTACATACGTGCCAGATGGACAACAACGCATCACATTACCTCGGCTTTTTGCCCTTTTCGTTGGTGTTGGAGACATTGACACATTTTTTACACGGCACCAGAAAAAAACTAAATATTCACCAACAACGCCCTGTCATTGTCCTGAGAACGCGTACATATGACCATACTAACGTCTGCGTGTCTGCCTGTGCTTACGTGTGTGCGCGCGCGTGTGCACGCCACCAGGAGGGCGTAGCGGCCGCGCAGTTCGACTGGAGCGGCAGCGGCCTCAAGAACCCGCTGGACGGTACGTTGCGCCGCAGGGCGACGATGGGCAGTGGTAGAGCGGCGGGCGCGCCTAGGCGAGCGCCACGCAGCCTCAGGCAGACTTCCTTCTCCTGACCTGTCTCGCTGACTCGGCTCCACCGCTGTCGCTCCATCTCGGACTGCCGCAGGCACGAACGAACGCACGAACGAACTCAACGCACGCACGAACCAACCAACGCACCACCACGTTTTCCCTGCGTGTTGATCGCTGTACCGCTGCCCCAAGCGTTGCTTCGCTCGCTGTAAATCTAGGCTTTCTCCCATCTCGCCTTCCTCCCCTCCTTCCACCTTGGTCACCTTGCAAACCAAGGCGTATTTTCTTCTTTTACCACCCCCTCCACCTCGCCTATAACGTCTCCTCTTTATTCGCGACACGATGCCGAACTTTTGAGAAAACCACCCCGATTTTTTTAAAATGCCTTCTCTGGCATGAAAGTGTGATAACGTATTTCCAATTTTATTGTACATAAAACGTTATAGATGTATAGATATATATAGAGTGACAGAGAGCTACTTATTCAACCATAACATTCCAAGCCATTCCATGAATCGTTCATGTTGGTGAGCGGTAACATTTAAATACAAAGTGGAGATTGTTTTCGAAATCCTCATTTTCAATTCTCCAAAAAAAAACACGTTTGGCCGAGCATTAAACAAATGTAATTAAATGTTAATGCACCGTAAATCAGACGATCAGGGGAAGGAACGTCTCCATTTCAGGTAAATCGTTGGAACGTGGCGTTGTGGGTTAGTGGATGAGCGCAGTGATTTTTCAACGGTTGATAAACCACTCGGTGCACCGCTATGTCGCTTCTAAATGTTGTGAAGGTAAGGCAAATGCAACCAACGTGTTCTACTAAGCATTTTTACGAGCAACACACTGATCACGTGAAAGCTAAATTGCTTCAATTGGTAATGAGAGAAAGCCTAGATAAAGTAGTATTACCTGTACCTTGAAATGATCCTGGAAGTGTTTGGTTTCCTAGCCGCGTGATTTTCCTCCCGGACGTATTGCTATTCTGTCCTCTCCTTTTAAGTCGAAGCCTAAATCCATGCTTCTGTATTTTCAGCATTTCTTTTGTCCTGTGCAATATTATAACCAAGTGCTTTATTCGCAGTGTGTGTGTGTAGAACTATTTTATTTGCCTTGAGTTTTTGAATCTGTACTTTGAAAAAAACATGGAAGAAAAAAATGCGCAAAAACATTACGATGTCACATCGGATAGGAGCTGGCGCTTTGTCAGGAGGGGTTCACCCTCGCCGCGTGCAGTGTTTTTCGCAAGATCATAACGTCAAGTCGACTTGCGTGTTGACGAGAGCTGTAACCCTTTTTGAACGCAAAGGCTTTGTTTGTTTCCCGTTGAATGAATTCGCATATAAAGCTTCTTTCTAAACTGTCTGCAGCCGTCTTCTACGTGCGTGTCTCAGACTCTCTCGAGGGTGAGCTCTGTGTGTCTCTCTCGCTCGTTAAGAGCGTTCCACTCACAAGAGGAAGGGGTGATCGCGTCAGTGCCGGTCAGCCGCTGACCCCTGCGTATTGTTACCACCGTCGTTGTCAATCATCGTCATCAGTAGTAATAATAATAATAAAACTCACGTCCTTTCTTTACCCTGCAAAGCCTCACAGTCTCGAGACTCGTTATCATGAGGGCCCTTCATAGCGGGTGTTCAGCTTTTGCAGAAGGGTAACCGGAGCACTCGGAGCAAAACCCATGCAGGTAGAGTCAAGGATCCGTTGCTGTGCTGTCATCTTCTGGCCACCTCGCAACCAACGTCGACAACCATCTGGTATTCCCAGGCAACCTCCCTTCTAAGGTTTCGCCAGGTCCAGACCTGCTTAGCTTCTGTGGACTGATGAGATCAGGCACACTCGGGCGTGGTTTGGTTGAAAGGCATCATCATCCATTTATCACCAATGATCTTCTTTCATCGATAAAAGGAGGACACTCTGTGGGGAGTTCATTGCGGCCATCCTGTATGTAGACTGGCCCCGCCATGACAGTGTGGAACTTCCAGCACCGACTCAGGACCGCCAATGTAGATGAGCACAGCCCCACGCTCTGTTGAACAAGGAGACACCTTTGGCTTACAGCCCGGCACCCTCCAGCCCTCACCTGCCCTCACCTGCCCTCACCTGCCCTCACCTGCCCTCACCTGCTGTCACCTGTCCTCACAATCTACCGACTTCTTGATGTTTTCTTTCTCCCCTTTCCCTTCCGTTGCTCCCTGGCTCAATTCCCGCCGGACGTGAACCCTAACGGCACCGCCCTCTTGCCTCCCCGCCCCCCTACTAACCGCCTAGCCAACGGAGCCTCCAGCACCCTTAATCTCGATTTCTTTGGGCCAGCGGACGAGTGGACGGGCGCCAGCCAGGGCGCGTCCATGCCAGGTCAGCGACGCCGTGCTGTGCCTTGCCTTGCCGTGAAAACGGGGCGAGGGTTCTGTCTGCGTCGACGCGAGTCGTCTCCGCGGAGACGGCTCGCGGTCCGTCGCCGTCCCGGTCGTGTGCCCCCCCCCCGAGTTGCACGACGCGACGTTCGCGGAACGTGCCGCTGACCGGACCCTCGCTCGGCTGCACTTTGCTTTGTGTTTGCTCCATCGCCCCCCCGCCCCCTCACTCCCCCCCTAGAATTGCATTGCAATCGCTCTAGCTGCCACCGCCGCTCCTACCCGCGGATTGCATTGTGATCGCGCTAGCTGCTGCCGCCGCTCCGACCGACCGAGTTGTCCGCAGATTTCTAAAGGGGACTCGATTCGCCGTACACGTTTGGGGTTCCCGTGTCGCTGCGAGCTGCGAGCACGCGTGTGCGTTTCGCTTTCCTTGCTCGCTTGACTCGCACGCAGCCTCTCCAAAGAAGCACGTAGCCTCTCAGCGGAGCGTGTTCGGCGATGTCGGCTTCCGTTTGAAACGGCGCTGGTGGCGGTGGTGGCTCGAGCCAGAGCGCTGAGCGGCACTTCGGAGATCCTGGCCTCAATTGTCAGTCACCACCAACGGTGAACTGAAAACTCAACACGTTCGTCAAATGGCCACGTGAAAAGATTGGAACCATTATTGGGGTGCCACCGCATCAGGTGGCACCCACAGTTGAGATATCTGCTCTGTGCTCATGGATTGTGTGGATAATTTATGGACCCTCGTTGGCTATCACTGACTGCACGAAAATTGACGTTAAATGATTTTTCACTTCACCTGGCTAAATTTCAGCCCTGTGAATGGATAATATCAGTTTACTGTGCAACAAATATGTTTCTGCTGCAGGACATACAGGAAAGTGCTGCCCCATCGTGTGTGGTTAAAACATCTCATTTTAAAGACTCTCGGAAGGAGTTCTGTGATATCTGCTTCTCCGGGCCTTCCTCTTAATACACGGGGTGATTTACTGCCCTGTGAGAGTTCCCAATGGATATTGAAATTGGGATTATACATTGCAATCATCGCCCCCCTACCGGCAGAATAATAGGCTATCTTAGTCTCCCGAGTTTTCACCTGGTAAAACTAAATCGACTTCAAACGTCTCACGGCGCGACACGTGCGTGCATGTGCAGCCCTTCGTCAATTCGCTACTGGATGAGGGCCTTCCCCATGCCCTGTGGTTCCAGGTAGTCGTTTGACCATACTTCACCACCCTGGTCAGTGAGGGTTGGTGAAGAAGGAGAGCATAGACGCGGAAGCGTATAAGTATGGTACAACAATATAATGCGCTTCATTGCCCTCGGCTGCCCAGAGTGTAGCCCTGCAGCAGCCTGTAACACCTGTCGTCCATGTAGTTGTCCAACCAAGCACGATGCAGCCTGAAACTGGCTAAACTTGTGAGATCTGATGAGATGGAGGCGCGTTCGAGGTGAATAGGTCAAAGGTGAGGCAGTATTAGTCGGCGGCGGTCTCTTCCTGTGCCGCCATCCCCTCTCATAATCATGGCCTTGCTCGCCGGGAGTCGCTCGTGCACGATGATTCCATGACCAAAGCGCTGGGTTGGAGGCACGCACCTCGCGCGGCGCCAGGCTCCCGTCCGCGTGGCCCTTGTGCCGGCTCGCTGAAGCGCCCTGCGGGGCAAGGGGGCACGCGCAGCTCCCTTGCCAAGCGGCACCCGGCAGGCGGCTGCCAGCTGTCGGGAGGCCCGCAGCGCTGCGCTCCCACCAGAGCCGCCAGAGCTACCGGGGCCTACAGCTCTACAGCTCTGCTTCTCAGTCGCTGGCCGCACTTTTTTGCCACCTCATTAGTGTGCGTGCTTAATCCTCCGCGCGCGGACGCATCGCTGCAGCTTTGCCAGCGCGTGTGTCACTTAGGCGGTTAAACGTTAGTTGTGTTGCAATTTTTTTTTTAATCCGTTAAAAATGCCCTGCAAATCAGGATGGGTGTCGTGGCTCGCTCGGCTAATTTAATTAGCGCTCCACTACGCCATCGCGTGAAAACTGTGCGCAGCTCTCAGCGACTTTGCCTGAATTGAACAAGAATCGTTGAAGGCAAATGGCGAATAACGGAGACCATTTTTTTAAACCGCATGTTGAGTCATCCAGCGAGAATCTCGCCGTGTCTCCATGCTCAAACGCGTCCACATTGTCCCTCCACGTTCAGTAAGCTTCTCTTTATTTAACCCTGGTGAGCACCCACGAATGGGTTTTGCCATCTCATTTCCCAGGAGTCTGTGTCGGGGGAGCCTGGTCACACGCAGATGGATACACGAGTTTAACAACCAAGTGAAATCCAGTCCAGCGTTTCCATGTTGATTCAAACGCTGCTGAAAGCTGTTGGTACACATAGCCCATTTTGTTTATGGATGCTGTTTTCTTTGGTGGTAAAGCATGCTTTTCCCTAGTTTTTATTTATTGTTGTTTATTTGCACACAGCCCCCTCCCCCCAAGGCAGCACATAATGATGTCGTACAACTTCGCTGCCGGTAATTCATCATACTTGCCGTCTTGGCTCGGCCGGGTGTGGCGAGTGACCTCACGAGTCCACAGAGTCTTTGGGTTCATCCGAGAAGGGGATGAACCCAAATCGTCGTTAACCTTCGGCATTTATTGTTGGCGTTTTTTTCTTCTGCCGGACCATGGCGGTGACCCCTGACCCACTGACCCGACCTGCGTGCGTGTGGCGGCCGTAGGCGTCGACCCAGAGCTGTTTGAGCTGACCACGGCCAAGATGGAGTCTGCGAGCACGGTGAGCCGAGTGACCGACGCCATCGCGCGCCTCATGTCCACGGCCGACAAGACGCTCACCTCGGCGCGGTGAGTGGACGGGCGGGGGCGATGGTGGTGGTGGCGGGGAGGGGGGGGTGCGCAGGGTCGGGGGTCGGGAGGCACCTTGTGTTGTGTGAGAATGGCTCGCGAACGCAAGCATGGTCGCTCCACGCGCGTGCCGGTCGTGAACGTGCCCGCGTGTGTGCGCTCACGCTCCATCTTCAACTTGCCGGTTGTGGGTTATTGACGGACAGCTCGTACCGAGCCCACGGTTCACTTCCTCGCTGCAGCCGCTCACCGGTCGGTGAACCTCAACGAGCCAAACGAATGAGTTTGGACAGTCATCGTGCAAATTATCCTCGCAAAGGAGTCTCGTTAATTCCCAAGCCCCTCCTACAGGAAGGAGGGAAGCATGAGCAATGAATCGGTGTATTTTTCATATGGCAGGAAACCAGATTACTCAGAAATTCAGTGGCATAATCACTCAATCTACCCAGGCGGGTCAACATCTTTTACCTACTTGCTGTACTGCGTTCAACACACCACCGCATAGCACTACAGGTTGTGCGTCCAACACACGGTAATCTCTGAGTGATCCACCAACTCTGCCTCCAAAAACCATTGAGAGACAATGTGGTTGCACTGTTTTTGTGTTTATTTCTGGTGATGTGTCTTTGTGTTGTTGATTTGTATTGTTTAGTACTGTGTTGATTGTTGTTTAGTGTTGTGATGTTCGACGAGTATCGTGGTGACTGACGGCGATTATTGTTGATCCGTGTTGGGCTCCGTGTCCTTTTGTGTCGATTCATGTCGGAGCAGGAGGCCGCGTCGCGAAGAGAAGCTGAGCGGCGAGGCCCTGTCGGTCATGGCCGCCCTTCCCGACCTGTCGTTCATGCGCGCCAAGGTGCTCATGTTCCCGTCCACGCTCACGCCCACCGCGCCAGCCTGCGGCGCGGTGGGCGTGGACGGGCCCTGACCCCTCGCTCGCTCATCCGCCCGCCCGCCCGCTCGCTCAATCTCCGTGCCCGACACCAACGCCAAAACCACCGCGGAATCGTCTGGGAAAGAGCGAGGCGGTCGGTGCCGGGGAGTTCCGTGGCGGGCGTGTGGGTGGGCATGCGGGCAGAGAGGGACGAAGTGAGAATTGACCGAACGTCGTAGGATCCCCGTCGGGTGAATGAGTGAACTACTGTATGTAGAACATACGAGATTGTTTCTGATCTTTGTCTCCCGTCGCAGTCGTTAATTGTAGTTTGAGCCGCGACGGACTGCGGCAGCTTGCACATGTACACATAAACCGATGTATCATATATTGTTGTTTGGTAAGGGGAGAGGGGTGTGTGTGTGTGTGAGGTGGGTTGTGCGTAGTTGTGGCGAGAGCCTTCTCCACCCTGAACACCCCCCCGCTTGGTGAGTCTGGGTCGACCGCTTGCACTTGACGTCCGCGCGTACTTGCACGCGGTGGGGGGGGGGGTGGAAGCGCCGGCGGCTGCGTTTCCTATTCCCTGTGTAGCGAGCGCCGTTCGTTTTTGGCTCCGCCCGCGGGAAACTCTCCTCGCGAACCGCCAGGAGGGGTCGCTCACCGCACTACTCTGCATTAGGGGACGGTGAACCGGCAGCGGTTGACGATCGTTTTATTTAAGGGGTGTCGCTTTTTAGCAACCGATTTGAGGAGCGCGGTAATCGCGCGAGTGTGGGCCCAGCCGTGTTGTCGGCCTGCGTGCTGAGTTGAGGTCTTCCAGCGACACTGGCGACAGCGCTCTGATTGGAAGACACTTTGCAGCTCCAGGTGGTGAAACGAGATCTCGCGTTTACGCAGACACGAAGCTTAACCCTACCCGCTACCTTTTACCTTGGCCAAGCTTTACCGACACTTAAACCGGCTGATGCCAAACCTTACTCTTGCGCTAGGACTGAGCCGAGAGGTCTTTTTAGTTTCGGTTTTGAGCTTTTGCCAGCGTTGCCACATTCACAAAAAGCCCTCGACTCGACTGTGAAAGGGTGACTGCAAGTAGTGGACACTAACTCCAGCTGACTGTAAGATGAACCTGAGCCTTGACTCCTCAGTGATACTCGTACTAAGAATGGGCCTGCCTGGCCCTGAATGGCGACTGTCGAGAAGTTCAGCGTTGGCTTAACCGAGTGGAGCTTGCCGAGTGGGTGAAGTAACCCGCTCCTGCCTGGTTTTATGGAGAAACCACAGATGCAGGTGACGCCGCACCGCGCGCACCCGGGGTGGAGTGAGTTACCAGCGGTGGCTTCGTCATCGCTTCCTTCGGCAGATGGCAGCTCAGCGTCGGCGCCGTGGTCGTTACACACCGCGGGGTACCGGTTGAACTCCCTGCACGCGTCGCCTGCATCGATAAATCAGTCCCAGGGTAGAGTTTGTGGCCTCGGCTGGATCCACGAACCGCCACTCGCCACGCCCCGAGCTGCACGCCGGCAGCGTTACCAACTGCAGGTGCATTTGCGGACGCTCCTTGTAAACCTTGCTTCCTTTAATGGGTCCAAATAATGCGTCCAATCGAGCACCTGTACATTTTTGCATGAATTATCTTTTTTTCCAAAAAAAGTAACCGTCCAACCCAGCGGGGCTCGGGGGTGTGGGTGGGGGGTCTCGCGCTCGCTCGATACCACGCACAGGCCCCCTCTGCTGCTCCACATGGGGCCCCATGGATAATTCACCCCCCACTCACCCGACCCTCCAAACTTCTAAATTATTCCTCCTCTTACAACTTGTAACAAATGTCAAAGGCGTAAATGAGTGCCATTCATTACGTACTTGTCATGTTCCTAAATTAAGCGATCGGTCCGTTTGAAAAAAAGAAGAGGCCTATCTGTGTGCTCGACAACCACGTGGGTGGATTGACGGGGCCACGCGTTCTCTGGGACGTTACGACGCTCGAATCGTCGACTCAATTCGTCTCTTGCACTCGCGTGTGTCCGATTTGCGTGCCTGTAATAATTGTTTCAGATTCGTTGCATTTCGCGATTGGCTCACGGGAGGAGACGGTGAAGCTCCGATGCGTGCACTGTAGGTGTGTAATGGTTTGCCGCTCGATAGACACGCAACGAGACTAGCGTCGAATCGCGCGCGTCAAGACTCTGCTCTTACTATGCATAACGACGATATGCAAAGTTCGCCACATCACGCGCGGAACAAATGACAGAACAAGTGACACCGTGTAGATAGTAGAAACATGACACAGCGCAAACTCGACAGACTGAGATCATATATAATTGGTTGTGCGATGTAATGGTGACGGAATCACGACGTCCATCACGTTCCAGGGGAACGAGTCGTTACATGCCTACAGTGCACCGTGGCGGGGGTGCGGGGGGACCAAGTGGGAGAGGATGGGGTGGGGAACCAAGGGAGGGGGGAGGGGACCAATGTGTGGGTCTAATTGAGCGGTGGATGGGATGGATAATTACATCCCCACTGGCCCTTGCGAAGATCTAAAACTCCAGCACTGTTCAATGTCCATTCCTGCCGCCGGGTGGCGCTGTGACTGCGTTTCGCTTTCGAGCGTTGCCTGGCGGCTCAAAATGAAAAACGACGCCAATTGGCAGCGTTTGCACAACCCGGGCCACGCACTTCACGACGATTATCCTGCGGAGTGGGGTCGGCAGAGGCGGCCCGGATAAAAAAAACACGCGGAGCGACGATGCTCAGACGCGTGTGAACGTGGCCCTAGGAACGCGCGCCGTATTTATTGTTGCTGCGTAGTAGAACGGGAGTTGGGAGGTAGAGATGGTAGAGATGGCCGAGTCGGCGTGCGTCGCGTCTGAAGCGCCTTCACTCGCCGCGGCGTGTTCGCGGCCGCGCGAGGGGGCGACGAGTTGCCGGCTCTCGGCAAGGGAGGGGATGGAAAATTTTAAACCGGTGCCCGCCTAAAGACGCCGTCTTTTATTTTGTCTGAAAAGCACGGCGGATCCGCAACCCAGATAGTCCGCCCACGGACAACCGGGGGTTGGCCGCACCTCGTCGTCCCCTCGGTTCGTTGCTGTGCCAACGCAACCGCTGTCGCCTTCTCACCGCCGCGCGGTTCGCTCGCGGGGCACCGGGGCCGCAGCGGCGGCCGTGGTCACCGTTGGTGGGGTTCTGTGCCCTTTTCTTTTTCGGTCTTGGCCACAATCCTAACCGTGTCGTGGCATTAACCCTAACCCGAATTCTTACGCTAACCATAGCTGCAGCCATAGCATTAACCGCAACCACTACCTTAGCATTAACCCTGTTACTAATAGCCACATCCTAACCAGCCCCGAATACCAAAAGTGACCAAATGCCTCTCCCTAAATTTAGCCACATCCCTAACGATATCCCTGATCCTAACCACATTCCAACACCCTAACTCTATCCCTAATACCAACCTTAACCACACCCCCTTTATCACTAACTTTAACCACTTCCCTTAAAATGAGCCATTACCTCATCTTAATGCAAGTCCCAAGACGAGCAAATATCCGTAACCGGAACCCTTAGGCCTACCTCCACTCACAACCTCAGTCCTAATTCATTCATGTGAAGTCAATTGAAGTTGGCAATTCATGTGTTGTGTTATAATTAATTTACTGCCAGACAATGCAAGTCACGTCTCGGTCGTGCAAGGGACTCGGCTGTAAGAGAATTCCACGGTCCAAGGGGTGATAACCACTGCGGGGAGTCTAATCCCTCACACGCGCGCGAGTGTGAAACGGGTCCTCCACACGGAGCAACGGGAGAGAGGGCCAAGTGGACGTGGCGACAGCACCGGAGCCACGAGAGCTCACGGAGCCGGTCCACGTGGCCCGTTAGCAGCTGGGGCAGGGTTGCGGCCCAGGTTGGGACTTGTCGCTAGGCCTAGGAGGGGTGGTGTTGGCCGTGAGCCTCGGCGCCGGCTTCAGAGACGAGCAGTTCGGCGTACGAGTTCCTTGGCCGCGGTGGAAATCGGTAACGGGCCGAGATGGCAGATTTGGCGATAATTTATTTGTAAGGTCAGTAAGAGTAAATTGTCACGTATATATTCATTTGACGACACAATTCGCTTTCACTAAAAACCCACCACACAGGGTTTTGCCACTCATGGAAAACATTTCAAGCGGTAGAGGTGAACATCTGATGTGGGCCCCCACGGACTCCGCGTATTGTAGGCCCCGCCACCCACCGTGCCTTTCTGGCCTCTCAAATAGGCGCAGCTCATTCACAGAAAATTCTCCGCCATTGTCATCGGGCTGAGACGGGGTGGATATTTGTTTTCGTGTCCGCAACGAAAGAAACTTAACGAGTCCAAAACGTGGACGCGTGTTGGCTTTGAACTCGCGAGTGTTGTCGTTAGGGGTAGAGATAGGGTGAGCCCAAACCCACGTGGTGTTATGAGTTCAACTTTTAATCCATGTTTTATTTACATTCGGGTTGATCGTCTCATTTCACGGAAGTGTCTCTGTCTCTCCGTTCGTCTCCGTCTGTCATCGTATTTCAATCGCGTCGACGGGACGCGTCTCCCTGTCACTGATTTTGCGATCGCCGTCACGTTACTAGGTCGCTTTTTTGATTAACAGTCAATTAATGTGATGGTAAAATGATTGTGAAATGGATAGGATGGACACAAGTGTGCAAGTCCTTTTCGCAGAACTTACTCTGCTCGCACCCAGGATAAACTTGTACGCGTTCAGAATGCAGCGATTGAAAAAGGATAAATATGCTACACCTGATTAATCCCATTAATTAATTCGAGTCTGACACGGATGCTCCTATGAACACGTGCACACATCACAGCACACCCAATCCTTGTAGGCCTGTTAAGGAGAAATTTACTTTAATGAGGAAAAAAATGGGAAGTTAACTCTACTTTGCCGGAGGGTGAGGGTTAAAACATGGCACTTGCGCTCTTTCTCCTACCTCTCGGAGGGCGAGGAGTGTGGTTCAATCGTCGTCGCTAACGGACGAGCAGCCACCACAGACGGCAAGACCCCAGCCCCCCTGGACTCGCAGGAGCCGCCCGCCCCACGGGAGATGTCCCGGAACAGGGCCCTCTCCGAATGGAGCTGTACATAGCGAATGCGTGAGAGCGACCAGCTGTTTATATCCTTGATGACGCCATTGTAATATGTACATAGGTTTCGAATCGGGTGCAATTTGAAGGTGGTGGTGGTGTTGGTGGTAACGATTGAACGACACAATGTACGTAGTTTATAAAATGTAATTTAACAAACAAACAAATCCTGACTGGACTTGGCTTAAGGGAAGACTCGATCTGATGAACAAGCATCTCTTGTAAAACCGCACCTTGGGCTGTCGGAATCTTTGGTAAATATAAAAAACAAACTTCGTTAAATGGAAACGTCCCCCCTCACCATTGTTGAGCTCTAGTGATATCACAGTGAACTCACCGACGTCACGGTGACGTCTCTGTGATATCACCGGTGCACGAATGGCATTGACGCGCGTGACCATCACCGTCTTTTCTTTTTTCTGCCTTTCTCATCGACGAAAATCCCAAACTGGTCGGGCAGCCTGAGCCCCAGCCCCGGCGGGTATCTACCGCAAGAGCTGCTTGTCAGATGGCCCGCGTCTTCCTTGAGGGCGAGCACGATTGTTTTAGTTTGAACACTGTAGTAGCAGGTCCGACGTCTCCCCCTTTGCCTGCATAAGTGCGACTGCTGCGCGTGTGTCAGCCCAGAGGCGCTGCTGCGGTTTATTTAAGATGCTTTACGTGAACAGCCCACGCGTCTGTATGTCTCTATTTACAACAGGGTTTCTGTAATGTTTCATTTCGAACTTGTCAAAGAAAACCTAGTTGGGCACTTCGAGGGCACTTTACCATCTGCTTTGTAGATAAACTGGCAAGGTATTAAAATTTGAAATAAAATATTCTAATATATACCGCGTTTGTGTGTGTGTATACATTCGCAACCTTTGACCCCAATGTTTTGATTCCAGGTGGTGAGGTGTAGTGGTCGTGTCTTGACCCTCCTGACTTGTCCTGTATCCGCGAGGCTTTCCTGCACCAACAGATTTGATAACAAAACTTAGATCAAGACTTCCATGGGTAACCCATCAAAATGCTGGCGAAACACGTAAATAAACCCTACTTGATGTTTGACTACAACGAAGAAGCATTTGGATATGTAGGTGCACGATTGGGATTGTCACTGAGAGACAAAACGATAAACGCATGGATCAGAGGTCAAATCCAAGTTATAGAAATCCTCGAATTATGAAGAGGAAGGGGACGATGTCCCAGGCTGGCGTGGCATGTGGAGCCACAGGAGAGAACGAGGGCGAGGAGACGACAAAGGTCGCGATGGAGCGATGAGGTGAGCAAGTCCAGGAGCGAGGCGGATTGTGAGGGGCGGCGTCATGAGGAGACCTTCATCCAGCAGTGGATAGGCTGGTGACGAGTGTTTCATTTGTTAATTGGGTTAGAGTTTTGGGTGATTTGTTTACCTTTATAATTTGCACTCAGTGTTTTTGTACTGTTTGTTGTAACGTTCAAAACCGCCCCGACTGGACATCTGTGAAAAAGACCTTTTTAGCTCAGCGGATTTCTCCTGCGGTACAATCAACTTTGATTACCGCCATGGCCGCCGCGACCTCGTGGCACTGGAGGCGCGCGTCACAGTTGAGCCCCACGTGACCACGGCCCGCCGCCGCACTGCGGGTCGAGACGCGGGGGCTCGGGTCCTTTCCTACAAGACGCTTGTCAGGGGCTCCCTTTCAACAAATCTCGCGGGGGGGTGGGGCTGCGTCGGAGAAAGGAAGTCATAAATAGCAGGCGGGCGAGGAGACACGGAGTGGTGTGGACACGTGGGGCTCCACGCTCTCGATGCGCACAGTCGCACTCTGTTCCTCCTTGCCGAGGTGTGAGCGCGCCGTGCCGTGCGGACACTGGCGCTGAAATAAAAAGAGGCCGTCACGCGGCGTCGCCAAACCCACGGACTCGATCGCTTCGAATCCACGGAACACCGGGCGAGTGGGGAGGCGATGCGAAGCGTTGGCAACAGCAGTTTAAATAAAACAATTAAGTCAATGGTTTATTTCTCAAATGATCATGGACGTGGTTCTGTTTACAGCCAGTGGTGGAAATTCCACGTACCCATGGCCAGTGGGGAGAGGGGAGTCTTTCCATAGTACAACCCACTGTTCACTTCCCCACAGAGTGGTACTCCTTATATCAGCTACCCTGGATGGGGTGATGAGGCGTCAACTCAGCCATTCAGAATCAAAATTTGCATACTGGAGGAATCCGATGAGCTTTGAAGCTCTTTTGCACAGACGTCCAGTAGCTTCACAGATGTCCGATTTGCGAGCCGTGTTTGCTCTACCGCGGACCCACCTGGCCCGTTCCTATGTACGCTGCGTCCTGTGAGTGGGGCGCCTCCTGCCCGAGCGGAGTGCTGGGGAGGTCAGGGGAGGTCAGGGGAGGTCAGGGTGAGGTCAGGGTGAGGGACACACGGGGGCTGGGGCTGGGGCGGCGAGCAACACCGCGGCCCAGCGCCAACAACAGCAACAACAACAGCAACAACAGCAGCAGCAGCAACAGCAGCAACAGCAGCAGCAACAGCAGCAGCAAAAGCAGCAACAACAACAGCAGCAGCAACAGCATCAACAACAACAACAGCAGCCGAGGGCCATGTGCAGAGGCGTAGCTTGCGTGGGGGGCAGGGGGGTGCCTTGGCCCCCCACTGGTGGCCAAAGCTACGAGTTGGGGGCCCCTTGACAAGCACCATGAGATATGTTTTGAACAACGACAGTGTTGAAGGTACAAAAACATTTTAAACGGAGCGTCCCCTACAGCGGTAAATGTCCGAGATGATGCGAGTTTGACACGGAGGGCTTTCGCGACCAATATTAAGCAGAGGTTTTGTTTGGGTTAGATCGCGTAAATATGTGTCGTTAAACCCCGCCACCACCCGACACAGCCAATTCGTAAGGTTTGTCACGTAAACGTGTCAATTCGTTGCTAGTTCAGCACGCCGGCAATGTGTTGGAGGGTAATCCCACGACAATTACAATTCCAGCACCGTGACGAAGGGCCGTTTCCCGAAACGTCGCCTGCATTTGTAACGCCACCGCTTATTCTTGCATTGACAGAATGTGCTGAATGTGTTCATTGGCACACGAGTGCCAACGCAGCGTCATCGCCGGGCAATGAGCCAGACGAGGCAGCAGCAGCAGCGGCGGCGGCGGCGTGTTTAGTTTTGAATCGAACGCGAGTGAAATCGCGACGCCTTAAACGTGCCGACGAGAGGTGAATGTCTGGCGAGGGGGCAGGGAGGGTGAATCGTCGGCGGTGTCTGTGAGCAGGAGGCTGTGGGTGGGAGACGCCGAGCTGTGGGTGCCGTTCCGTGTCGCTGGCCCAAGCCCCCTCCCGGGGCAACATAAACACAAAACTCCTTGCGGCGACGACGAGGACGACGAGGAGGTGGTGGTGGTGATGGTCACTCGGGGTGTCAGAGGCGCGTGGCAGCGTGCGGTGGCGGCCTCGTGCTCACCGAGGCTCATAGGGAGGGAGGGGAACACACGGAGAGAGAAAATAGACTGGCTTTGCCGTTGCCATGGCTGTCTACAATATTTATTGAGCATGTTTTAGTGACCGGTGCGCGCGAGTCTGCATCACGGCTCACGGGGAGGGGTGCGCGGTTGAGTTCGTGTGTAGAGTGGTGTGTAGAGTGGTGTGTGTGGGGTGTGTGGTGTAGAGTGGTGCGTGTGGGGTGTGTGGTGTAGAGTGGTGCGTGTGGTGTGTGGTGTAGGGTGGTGTAGTGGTGTAGGGTGGTGTGTGTGTGGTGTGTGTGGTGTAGGGTGGTGTGTGTAGTGGTGTGTGTGGTGGAGGGTGGTGTGTGTAGTTTAGTGTGTGTGTAGAGTGGTGTGTGTGGTGTAGGGTGGTGTGTGTGGTGTAGTGGTGTAGAGTGGTGTGTGTGGTGTAGGGTGGTGTAGAGTGGGGTGTGTGGTGTAGGGTGGTGTAGAGTGGTGTGTGTGGTGTTTGTGGTGTAGGGTGGTGTGTGTGGTGTCGAGTGGTGTATGTGGTGTAGTGTAGAGTGGGGTGTATGGTGTGGAGTGTGTGGTGTAGAGTGTAGAGTGGATTGTGTGGTAAAGTGGGTACTCATCATAGGTCCTTGCTAACAGCACTTGCCCCTACAGTCTGTAAAGGCTATACGGGGGTCTTTGGGGTATAGGGTAGTGTGGTGTGCAATGGGGTGTGCAGTTTCAAGTGGTTATTAGAACTAGCATACTTTCTCTTTCATGGCCTTTAATGAGTGAGTGTATGAGTGTTTATAATAAGATAGGTTATTTTAAAAAAAAAGTTCGATTCACAAGGCCAAACATATATCGGACAAACAACCACTGTGATTACATAAACCCGGAGTGGAGTCCACTTTCAAGTGGCGCATGGATTGTGGAAATGCACGGTGAAATATATTTGGTAGCGGAATGTGGCTTGTCGAAGTGTGGAGTGGAGTTTGGAATTGAGACTGGATCGTAGAAGCGTTTCGTGGCGTATCATTTGAGTGGAAGAGTGTAAGAGTGGAGTGTAAGAGTGTAGTGTATAATGGAGTACGGAATGCGGCAGTGCGTCGTCACGCTGAGCTTGGGTTGCGGATTGCAAAAGTGTGGAGTGAAGTTTGGAATGGAGCGCGGATTTTTAGAAGTGTTGAGTGGAGTTTGGGATAGAACGTCGACTGAAGAAACGTGGAGTGGAGTTTGAATGGAGCATGGATTGTGGAATTTAGTTTAGAATGGATTGAGGATGGTAGAAATTTGGAGTTGATGCGAGAATTGATCGTTGGATGCACAAGCGTGTAGTGGATTTTAGAATAGATTGCGGATTGCAGAAATGTGTTAGTGGAGTTTGTAATGCGGCATGGATTATGGAGATGTGGGAGTGAAGTTTGGAACTCGGCGTGGATTTTATAAAAGCGCGGAGTGGACTCCAGTTCACGGTGACGCGCGAATTGCGTGCATCACGAAAGCGCGGAGTGGAGTGCGAGGTCGAAGTTACAGTGGATTGCGGATCGTGCGAATGCCACGAGAAGCGGGGGTTGCGCGAGTTTCGTTTTGATGATCCCGTCGTGACCAGGCAGAACGAGGGCAGCGGCAGCAGCGGCAGCAGCAGCGGCAGCGCCTTCTCTATTTATAGCCGCGTGTCCACAGCAGAGGGGCGCGTGCTGGCGTGCTCCGTGTGTTTACAGATTTGGAGCGGTTCGAGTAGCAGCAGTGGTTCATGCACTAAGATACAAACCCCGGTGACCCGAGCTTTGAGTCACGGTCACGGTGAACGTCGCTGACGTAGGAGGACTTTCAGAATTGATCTTGGACCTCTCCCAGGTCCACTCGGCCTGAAATGAATCACTTGGTGCCGTGTGCAAAACGTCGTCATCGGGTAAACAAAGGCGGCCTGGTGAGGTGCTGGCCACCCACCCCCTCGTGTGCCGTGCCAGCATTAATAGGTGCTCACTAACACACCAATCTATCATGCTATTTAGGGGATATTTAGTATGTTAAAAAAACATATTCACACGTGTGTTCACTGTGTCGTGGTTAATTCACTGCACTACAACCCTGGTGACCCGAGTTGGACATCGGTCCGGAGCCTCCCCCAGATCGACTCGGCCTTGAATGAGCACCTTGTGCGGTGTGTTGACATTAGCACTGGGAAGACAAAGGCGGCCGGGCGGACGGGCGTGGTGCCGGCCACCGATTCCCGTGCGACGCTTTGGCTTTCAGAGCAGGGGGCTCGCTTCCAGCACTTGCCCCAAGTCTGTTAAGGCTATCCGGGGCAATACCTCTTGTGGTTAATTTACATCGCGTAGCTCTGTTTCCAAGCCACATTTCGACTTAAAGTTGAATGAAGAGAGCCAATTAGAACCGTTCCCTCTTCTGGATCGTGCTGCGGTGATGCTGCTGCTGCTACACGCCCAGCCATTGGCGAGCTTGCGCGTTTGCAAGAGGCACGCATTCCAGTTCTCGATGTGGAATCGCAGCGCTGTCGTGCGTTCATCCATCTCCGTGGCATTTAAAACAAGGCACCAGAACGCACGAGGCGCCTTGCCCTGGACGCGACGGCGCCCTCAATGATCGAGATTGAACGCGAACGTAAATCTGCGCTACGCGCGCACAATGAGCACGGCACGTTTCTTCGCTCTAAACAAGTGGCTGGACCGTCGTCCATCAGCGGTGGACATTCCACATTAGCATGGCACAGAACCAGTCAGTGGTGGTAGATAGCGTGCACGCAGGCGGTGCGACTGCACCGGGACACACGTGGAGTGGTCCGTGCAGGTGTTGGAATTTGCCGCGAGGCTCGCAAAATTACTTCTCGCTGGCTTCCTTACCCCTGGGATGCTCCTCGTTACCGAGCAAAGCATGATCGTGATGCATGGGGGCTGACTCAAGTGGTCTCGCCTGCGATTAGAATTCACGATTTCACCGCCAAGAGCCCTGGACTTCCGACAGCTGATCCGACCTTGGCGTATATTCTGCACCCGGCCTGATCCGACCTAATCCGATATTGTTCAAACAACTGACACAGACTCTCTGGTCAGGTCCTGGCTCTGAAACGCCACCGCCGGCCACTCCCGCACGGGGCACGTTCTGTTCGTGTCCCCCGGCCACAGCTCGGGGCCGAGGCCGTGCCTCCAAGTTGCCGCCTCTCCTCCCCGAGTCTCTTTACGAGTGGGCGTTTTCTAAGAACAAACAGCGCCCACTGTAACCTCGGCTGTATACACAGATACACATCCTTCTTTTAGCTGTATACACCACGCAGGGGCTGTTAGCGAGCACCTACAGCATCATTGGCAAGTGGTGTATGTATAATGAGCTTAGCCGTAAAGGCGCAAACTCGTGCTGCGTGTGTAGAACGTCAGAAATGGAGAGACAAAGAGGGCCGGTCATTGTGTCGTCCACACCCTTACCCTCGCGTGCTGCTGTGCTGGACTTCATAGGGACAGGTGCGTGGCGTGCACACACATCGACGACGACTGGTGCCAGAGAGACGTGGTCACTGCTTGAGCCGATTGGAACGAGACAGAGGAAAGTGGAAACGAATTACGAAATGTGCAGTAGTCCCCTACGGGATGTCTGCCCATGGATCGTGATGATGATGATGCAGAAGGTGGAGGGGGCTTGTTTCCTCCCCCCCCCCCCATAATGAACAGCTGTACCCCCGTGTGCCCCCTCCCCCGCCCGAGGTGGCTGGAAAGACACTCAAGTTAAACAAGAACAGTCGGAACAATGCTGTAGATTCCCCAGTTGCTGGCCATCGTGATCCCACTTCTGCCAAATGATCCCACAGCGGTTGCACAGTCGACGCCTGACCCTCAAGATCTGCTCTGGAACTCTCATCCCACTCGCGGAGTGATTCACTGAGGGGGCGGTTATGGGTGCCCCCCCCCCCACCTCACAAGTATTCGGTGCTGTCCCCTAAGTGCCCCCCCCCTTGTCACAGGAGGGAGGGGCGAGGAGGGAGGGGCGAGAGGGGAGGGGAGGGAGGGGCGAGAGGGGAGGGGAGGGAAGGGAGGGGCGAGGGGCGAAGGGGGGGAAGAGGGGGGAGGGGCGAGGAGGGAGGGGACAGGAGGGAGGGGGGGGGAGAGGGGGGAGGGGCGAGGAGGGAGGGAAGAGGAGGGAGGGGCAAAGGGGGGAGGGGAGAGAAGGGAGGGGAGAGGGAGGAGGTGGCTCGCGCCTCCCAGCCCCATTTTGGGCAGAGCGCATTGTGACGTCACGGAAAGGCGAGCATTCCGAGGCCGCGGCCATCACCGCGAGGTGCGGACACGAGACGTCTCACTTTCCTACTCCATAATCTGTGAATAATGATCACGACTCTCCGTCATTGACACACCCCCCCCAGCGTGGCGCTGCTGCCTTGCTGCGTTGTCATCTGCGAGTGGCCGCAAGTCGGAGCAGCCCCGCGTCTCCCGCCAGTGTGAACGCACGTGCGTGGAGCGTGGAGCGTGGTGCGTGCTCCTCCAAGGGTGACCTCTGGTCTCGACCCAACACCTTCACAGCAGAAAACAAACCCCCAAGACGGCGCGTCGCAGCGTGCCAACAGACCACTGCGATGATGTGCGTCACTGGCTTGTTTTACACAGGACAGGTGTGTGTTTTTATGAGCCCTTGACTCGGGGAAAGCCTCACGTGTTATACATCGATTTGTCTTGCTCTCTCTCTCTTGCTGGGTGTGTTTTGAGTGCTTATAAAGTTTACAGGCACGGATTGACAGGTGTATCCCACGGAAGACCTGGACTGCTGTATAGTCGATGATGTGGTGGCAAGATGATGGATTAAAATCAGTTCCGAAGGTTGCTTGATAACTTTATAAACCAATGCATCGGATCGTATGATCCAGCATCGTATTTAATTCGTAGTTCACTTGCCCCTGTCGGCCACTGGAGGCGCTACACTCACCGCATTGTCTCAGCCAGGGGTCTGATTCTTGAGTCGAGACCCACAATCGTGACTCAACTTCAAATCGCGAGGCAAGCTGGCTCATAGTGACACGCCTTGTACACATACACACACAGTCTACTGTATTTAAATGCAACATAACTTAGGACGCAACATAACTTAGGATAAAGGTATTTGCAGAAAACGGGGTTAATAAAAATGTTTGTCTCTCGGGACTCAACGAGGCTTTCCTGGATGAAGGGGACGTGGATCGTGAGAGGGCGATCTCCGTGTGCTCAGAGGCGGCGTGGCACGGCGGTCAACAACAACAACAACAGCAGCAGCAGCAGCGCCCACCTGAAACCCAAGAACCCCCCCCCGTCACCCCCCCCCCTCACAGCCCCCCATCACCCCCTCTCACACCCCCATCACCCCCCCCCTCACACCCCCTCACACCCCCCCCATCACCCCCCCTCATCCCCATCACCCCCCCATCACCCCCCCTCACACCCCCCCCATCACACCCCCATCACCCCCCCCCCCTCACACCCCCTCACACCCCCCCATCACCCCCCCTCACACCCCCCCCATCACACCCCCATCACACCCCCATCACCCTCCCCTCACACCCCCCATCACCCCCCTCACACGCCCCCATCACCCCCCCCCCTCACACCCCCCCCATCACCCCCCCCCCCTCACACCCCCCCATCAACTCCCCATCACCCCCCTCACCCCCCAGCAGTAGCGAACGCGAGGGGTGGGGGGTGGGGGCTCCTCCTCGCGTTTGATTGACACACGAGCTGGGCGTGCCGTCCACAATCAAAACGAATGGAGATGGGGGCGTGGTCACAGACACCTCCCCTCCAATGGCGTCGCGCGATCTGTTTGATTGAAAGGTCACGACCGGCGAGTATCTCGCGGGTCCAGGGGCCGACGAGGAGGGTGGGGGGGGGCGTGTCCAAGCGGGCGGCGCGGTGACGTCACGGCGGGTATTGGCGGGACGGGGAGCGCTCGCGGGCGGCAGTCGCGCGCGGCTCGCGACGGGGACAGCGGCGCGTGTGCGCGTGCGCCCTCCTCCTCCTCACCCTCCACCCCGCCCCTCCCCCCTGCACGCGCGAGCCCCTCCCCCCACCAAACCCCCTCCACCCATTCCCCCCTACCCCCTCAGCGAAGATGTGAATCGAGCAGGGAGCCGTCAAACTTCATCGGCGTTCACTCAACTCGACCGCTCGCGAGGACGACGGGGAAGCGCTCCGGTGCGGGTGCCGTCGCCTGCCCTGCAGTGAGTGGCACGCCGGGCGGCGCGCGGGTCCCCGACGACTGCCGCGGATTTCCGTTCGGATGGCGACGGATTGAAGCGGAGCGCCGCGGGCTGCGGGACATTTAAACTGGAGGTGGGGACGGTCGCAGTGGTACATTCCGAGGCGCGCGTAACGTCGTCGTTATAGTAATACTACACGTTGCTATTCTTACTGTGCCATAATCACGGTTAAATCCAATGTATTATTTGAATAAAATAATGTATATTTTTGTGTCGGTTTGAAGATTATAGTTTTGTTGCTGTCAGTTATTGCTGTTTGAAATGCCCCCCCCCCCCACACGGGTGAAATGGACTCGTCCACGGCGACAAAAGCCCCGCGTCGTGAATCTGACGAGTTACGAGCAACGTGAAATGTCTTTCGAATTGTTCATTTGAGGCATTATATTTACATGTAACGATGCTGTGTGGGAAACGTGCCGAGAGGTCGCGTGTTGATGCCCGTGTGTCGTGTCTGAATGGAATTTCCAGGCGGCTCTGCGCGTGTGTGTCGCTGAGCATCTTGTCACTGAAGCCACATGTCACGAAATTCTATGACGATTAATATGACATAGTAATGATAATGTTACAAATTACCTCGCTGGGAGACAGAGCCAACAACCGCAGTAGCGTAGCTTGTTTCAACACAACAAAAATTCCCTTCCTCGGAAATAATTTTGCAGTCGTGAAAACCCAGTGGCAAGTTCTGCAGCATCAAAATAAGGATCGAATCGTGTGTGTTTGTGTGTTGTTATGTACGTGTGTGTTTGTGTGTATATATGTACGTGTGTTTGTGTGTTGTTATGTACGTGTGTGTTTTTCGACTGTAATTTACTACATCGTCACGATAGCATCAGTGAGTCTTAGGGCCCATTTTTCGGGGGATTCTACATTGGGATATTTGGCCAATTTCCTTGCTACGAATTCTGGTGGTAAACGCGTGGAGAAATACGAGGAGATGACAATTCGACAAGTCCAGCCACACCAGGCGGTTATCAACCTGCTTGCTGTACTGCCATTTAGTTTCAGCTCGTAGCCCTGCAGTTTCGGTGTAAAACGCACATGTAGCCAACTTAGCGTGACCCACCAACCCCACCACCGACGTACTTTGTCAGAAGCGAACTGGATTGTGTTTTGAAGGGAAACCCTTCTTATGAGTGGTGAGCTAAGTGTTGGGTGGTACCCATGGGTTTGTAGGCCACCGTCTGAGAGCCAGAATGCTCTGCTAGCCCCGACTTAACCTCCCGGGACACCTTGTGGTTTGGCTCCCATTGACAATAATACAAATAACCAAAATAATAGACTGCTCATCAATACTGAGGGTCTTCGGGGATACTGTACTGAAGTTTGTGTTTAATAAGGATATGTCTGTTAGAACAATATCTAAAACTGCGTGTATGTTAACGTACTCGTTGGTTCTTTCGGTAAAGTCACGTAGGTAAAATGTTTTTTTATATTTATATTTTTATATATAAACAAAAAAAATTCACCTACGTGACTTTTCCGAAAAAAAAAAAGAGTATGGATTCTTGCAGTCACGAAAACTTCAAATCTGTATGTTAACACTCACATACCAGTATGTATGTTGAACGTCTTCCGCACCGTGTGGAGCCAACTTCTAAGCGATGGTGCGTGATAGTTGACTGTGTATTACGTACGGAGTGGGATTTTTTTTGGTCTAGCCTCAGGCTGACGAAGTAGTTTTTTTTCAATCAAGGTATGGTTGTACAGTGAGTTCTTGTTTGACTAAAGGGACGACAGTAATGGGGAGGTTGTAGTGGTCGGCAAGTGTTGAGCTTACGGCTCATACCTCGAAGTCTTGCAGTGGTGTAAACAGCCCAGTGAAGGAAGTGTGGTGGGCTTTTACACGTGCTTTGTGTGATGATTTACGATTGCTTTTCATGTTTAAACGTTTACAAAACATGCCAGCAACAAACTGAAATTAACTGTTTTTCTCCATACCGTGACTTAAGCCTCCCCATTAAATCACTTTACAACTCTTTCACAGTCAAACCATAGAAACTTTCACTATCACAACAATGACGACCGTCACTGTTGGCATTTATTTGGGAAAGTTAAAATTAAACCACCTCGCAATGCCTTCCTTCAGAAGAGGGGGCCCCGTGTGTGTCCTGGGCCACGCTTTCCATGAGGTCAAGTCCAGCAGCTGTTGCACTTTAGAGACTTCGGGGCGGGGTGACCTTTAGCCGCGCTAACCGGCAGACTGGCGAGCCCGATGAGAAGGGGCGGTCGCCAACAGCGCCCGTCAACACCATCTCCCTGCACACACGTGGCCTCCCTACGATTGCGCTCATTTATTGCCTCGCAATAATTTATGCCAGTGCAGCCCCTTTGGGCCGCCTCTCTGAAGAGGAGCGTCTGATTCTTCCTCTCGGGAAAACGTGACGTCCGACGAGCCAGGGCCCCACTTGTCTGCCGCTCTGTAAACGCAAATGTGAAGGTCCCTCCGTGTTGAACTGTGCGTGCGACGCGAGGTTTGCCTGTTTCGAGAGGTGGGAGTGCTGCACGCAGCCAAGCAAGATGCAGCCCCCCTCTCCCACGCTCCCACAACTCCATTCATGAATTCACGACGAGGAGGCTCACGTCCTGCGTCGCGAGCGACATGAGCGCTCGCTTGAATAGTGAAGACACTGCACGTTTTACGCCGCACGCAGGAGTTGGTTCGTAACTCCCGGTACCTGCAATCCACTAGGCCAATCCTCAACATTTTTTTTTTTTTATCCAGAGCAAGTGTCAGTGTTGTGCGAAATGGGTGATGTATGGGCAGACCACTCGGTAATGTGCTCAATTGTGTGGGATCTCGGAAGCTAAGTAGGGTTGTTTCAGGATAGTGCTTGGATGGGTGAACACCATGCATAGGCTGCTATGCAGTGGGCAGCAGACGGCAGTGCAAAAAATATATGTCCTGTTCTTCTATGCTCCCACGTCCATGTTCCCTGCTTTCAACTCGCAGCATGGTAGGGTATGATCAAATAACCCTGATGACCCACGTGACAAGGGGAGGACCTCCACCAGCAGTTGATTCATAAAAGGGCTGCCATGTACATACTTGTCTGTTAAATGGAAAACATGAACGTATGAGTTATGGGTGGCTTCCAGATACCGGTATTAAAGCTCTTTTTCAACATATTTTAGGCATGCTTTGCATTCTTTCATTTCCAGTTACCACTGTTTTTGTTTAAATCACTACTGTTTTTAATTACTGTTTTTGTTTTACGCACTTCCAATGAGCACGGTTGGATACGTACGCTGCGAAATAATTTTCACAAATATACATGATTACACGTTAACATTTTGTTCTTAGCACACAAGACGTCGGCTGGCTGGGTTGGACCAGAGGGTTGTAGTGCACCAACGTGTTGAGTGACCTCTATTTTGGGAATGTGGGGTAAGTTGCAAGGGTAAATTTGGCAATGACACCGGCGCGTAGAGACTTACACGTGCGGAGATCGCCGTGGTGTCTTTTTACAGGCATCACAGTTGGCTTAATGCACCCTCTGAGGACGGGTCCCCTTTGGACTCGAGCAGCGAGCGCTGTGCTTGCCAGTGAGCCCTCCGTGATGGTGGAGGCTGCAACTCTGGCACAGACACCGATATTGTTTGAGGCCATCCTGCCAGCTCCATCGGTCTGCAAATTGCGACATGCGAGAGTCAATTTCTGGGCAGTTGATAAAAAATACATACGTGTCTAAAACTGAACTTTTCAAATGGCACGTTCCGTTTAGAAACAAAAGCAAAAGAAAAGATCACATCAACATTTTCTGTATATTATAACCAATACTGAACGCTCATGAAAGCATTTGACCTGGTATTCGTTGGCAATCGGAATCCAGCATCGAGTTCTCTAAACATGTTGACTGTTCCTCGTGACGACGCTGTGTGCCACCCTGCCCCGTGACGTCACGGAGAGGTGAATATCTCTCCCCGTGACGTCACAGAGAGGTGAATATCTCTCCCCGTGACGATCGGGCAACGTTGGCGGCACGCCCATTGTGAGCACTTTGGGAGAAAACAGTTTTTTTTATTACATTTTCACGCGACCTCACACTGGACGCTACTCTTACAGACGTGGGCCTCACCGGAAGCTTTTGTCTGTGGCACAGAAGACGACGGCTCTAAAAGAATGTAACTTGCCCAGCATACCAAAAAGAGTTTTGAAGACAAAGCGATCACGCTTTCACGAGAAAATATATTGAACGATTATGATTTTTAACATCAGGTCCCATGCCTATCCAGTTTTTCATGATTGCCAGTCTGCCTGGTTGATCTGTAAATTTAGAGTTAAAACTTTCGTGACTGCAGGAATTCATATTCTTGGTTCTTTCACTAAAGTCACGTAGATAGGAAAAAACTAATTTTAAAAATAAGTAAAAAATGTACAATAAAAAAAGAAATCGAAATTTTTTTTAACATTTTTTATTTTAAAAAATTACTAATTTATTTATTTTAACATTTTTTTCTCTACGTGACTTTACCGAAAGAAACATGAATATGATATGTAAATTGTATTCAATGTGTTGCATGCATCTGTTGAGGTAGTATGTCAATCCCAACTAAGAGTGAGGTTAACTTAAAACGTAGGTTTTCTATACAGTACAGTGATTCATATTTGTCTTTGGATTAGGCCGCGTCAAGGTGTATTGTTCAGATATTTACTAACCTCAGGCATGCTATAGCGACGGGGACTATGTAATTATAAATACGTGGTACTGTAGTGATGTCAGGAAGATTAATACTGTATCTTGCGAAACGACGATGCACTTCAATGCCCTATTGGTGCCTTCGTTTTTTTAAGATTGCCAGTAACTCGAAATTATTATTGTTACTTGAAAACTGCTGACAGAGGGTCAAGAAAAATGTTGAACCTAATCATTAACGCAAATCTCAACATGCTAAGCAATTGACAACTTAAATTATTCCGTTGTTAGCTAGACTTGGGGCTAATGCCATGGATTGTACTTCCAGTCCTAAACACTCTTGAGGGCTGAGTTTAATGTTTCCTTTGTTTTAAGTGTATTGTTTAGATCACAGTTAAATGTAGGATTAAGTACGTTTTTGTGATGGATATGATCAGGA